TTCAGCACCCATTCAAAGTAGGTGAGATTATACATCTGTACAGGACCTGCTTCTGAGCCGGGATAGCTCAGTCGATATAGCGACTGGCTACAGGCTGGACAACCGAGAGGTCAGACTTCGAGTCCCGGTAGGGTCAAGAATTTTTTCTTCTAAACGTCGCCCCGACCTGCCCTGGGGCCCACCCAGCCTCCAATCCAATGGGTACCGGGGGAGGGGGTAAAGCAGACGGGGCGTGAAGCTAACCACTCACCCCAAACTAGTGCCGAGGTGAATAAAGTGTGGATCTGTACATCCATTCCCCCATACGCCTTCATGGCGTGGTGCATGGAGAACTTCACAGATCCTACTCAAAACAGAGGGGCTTAGAGGGGTGTAGAGGGCCTAAGAGAAGACGGAAGTTTCTGATCCCGGTCTGCGCTTAAGATTACTAGATTCTGCGATGTGGGGGTCGTGTAATTTCGTAGATATTACCACATTACACGACGTCACATCAACATGAAACTGCAATATTCATAATCACAGCCGTTAAGGACCTCAAGTCTCATTGGGATCTCTATAGGGAGCTATTCTACACTCTTCTCCACTGAAGATGGAGGCAAAAGGCTCCTCAGAAATGTTGCTATCTACCAAACTACACGGCGTCACACCCCATAAGCGTAATCTTCACAGTCATTAACGTGGGAGCCTCAAATCTCACAACCTGCTCTTCACCAGAACATCTGCATCGAAACTGTAGATTGAGCCGCACGTCTAAATTGGTGGAGCTACACCTCCACGTCCCTACGTCTTCATGGCGTGGTGCTTCACGTCTACCTCTCAACTATACGCTCGACACGACATATTCACCTACTATAGCTGTCAGAAGAGCGACGGGATACGGAGTGGACAGCCGGGGTTCCAATCCCGGCAGGGCCAAAATTTCTTTCTTCTCCACAGCTTCCACACCGACTCTGGGCCCACACAGCCTCCTATCCGAAGGGTACCGGGAGCTGTTTCCGAGCGGATAACGCGGCCGATGAGTGAAGCTGACCACTCAACTCCATCTAGCTGCCGAGGTGGTGCTATACCTCCACTCCCCCATACGTATTCGTGGCGCTGTGCTTAAGCACAGGGACAGCTTTGCCTGTATTCTATTTTCAACATATTTCGGTATCCACACCCCGACATACTTACCTACACGCCGCGAAAGGAAATATGTTTACTGTCCCATAAACGGCCCCGTCTGTCCCACACGGAGTTTCTACGAACCGGATGTCAGCATTCCTGGGCCAGCACAGGAATCATATGGGGGTCTCACTGACTGCTGATACCGTCTGTACAGCGACGAATTAACCAGCGTGACGGGAAGGCATTTAAAGGTCAGGAGTCAGTGGTGACGCTGACCGCGCTACCAACACACACCCCGTTGCTAAGATACTGACTTTATGCAGCCAATTATATCACTGGCTCCGTAGTAACTTGGCTGTTTGTTTACAGTCGCAGGCAATGACGTTCAGTGAGTATAACAATTATGCACTACGCTTTAATGAACCATCCCTGCTGTCCTATACTGTGACCAAAACATGTGACCGCTACATCGTCATAGGAATGTTACTAGATCCCATTTTGGGCTGCAATGTGAAGCAAAATGGCCTTACGAGACATCTTACTGAGCATACACAGAGCTTCCCTTCTGTAAGACTGCCTACTTAAAGCATAACGCACCCTGGGAGATGTTCTGGACGGAGTATAGCTTTATATAGAGTACTAGGGTAGTCGGCATAGCGCCTGATTTGGGGCTGCACGACGGAGGGGTCAAGAAACTTTTCCAAATCATCCAGACCGGCTCTGGGGTCATCCAACCTCCTATACAATTGGTACCGGGGGCTCTTTCTCCGGGTGTAAAGCGGCTGGGGCATGAAGCAGACCACTCACCTCCAAAAAGTGCCGAGGTTAAGAAAATGTGGATCCATACATCCACTCCCCTTTGCGCCTTCATGGCGTAGTGCTTAATTCGTTGAGCAGAGGGACAACTTTATCTTTTAAGAGTTGTATGCGGGTCTGCAACGGAAACTTGTAAACTCGGCCTGTTTATTTGCGTCATGTCTGACAGTCGGCATGTAACCGCTTTATAACCACTGAATTGTATTTCATTAAATCTGATACTGGAGAATTACGCTAAAGTTTGTTGACACGTGCCAATTTTGGTTAAAATCGGACAACAATAACCGACTTCGTATTCATGGGTCCCGGATTCAGATTTCTGCCGTAAGACAGACTATTATTACTGCGGTTTTCCGGGTTTTCCTCTGACCGGACAACTGATGCACGGTACCTTAAATACAATTACGGTCGTTTTCCTCAGCAGCGTTTCGTATTCATTACGCACTTATCATGCAGTCACTCCAAGCTCATGGCCCAAGTGACATCGTCGTCAACCTAACTACTGACTTCTTGAAAAGCCACCAGCTGCGCGGCTACTCAAGGGCTCCCCAGCTCCTTATTGTGTTTCCAAGAGCCCTCCACTGGTCGCTATCCTCAGCCAGATCAATCCAGTCAATACCACTCCATCCTACCTCTACCTCTCTAACAAACAAACAAACTCCGCAAGCGAACTATACCGACCGAGCGACCGCCGCTTGTCGGCGAAGTTAGTGCCAACTTTAGCGGATAGACGGTGTCACGTGGACAACGCAACGGATCCCCACGGCCGTTAATCTCGGTTTTCTAGACCGCTATTTCCTTGAAAGGGCCCCTCAATTATCCTCATGAGGCTAAGTGGGCCCCGTTTCAGATCCACTACTTCTCAGAAAATCTGGTAGCGCCGGGAATCGAATCCGGGACTTCTGGATCTGTAGCCAGGAACTCTGATCACTAGACCACAGAGGCGGTCCCTATCTAACATCCAGTTTAATATTATCCAACCACCTACGTCTTGGTCTTCCTAGTGGTCTCTTTCCTACCAATATCCTATATGCATTCCTCTACCCCCCCCATTCGTGCAACTTTCCCTGCCCATCTCATCTTCCTTGATTTGATTAAGTACAAATAAATAAAAACGGTTATGTTTATTAGGTCTAATGACAACCAGTAACTCACAGATGGGAGTACAGTGTCGTCTCGAAACGTCGTGAATGTCAAATACAGATGTGGGGCTTGGGGCTATCAGAGCTGCGAATATGTCATATCGAATGTGACGTCATGCATTCTGATAGAAATTACTAACATTTTGGAACTATGTGCCGCTTCCAAATTCAGAGAAAAAAATATTCTGCCCTGAAGATGGTGGCAGGGGGTTCCTTTATAACACCGGTAACGTAAGGCCTAACTAAGGGGGCGCTACACACCAGAAAGAGCAGCTTTCCATCACAACTGTCTACTAGCGACATGGACCTTTACGAAAAATCGAAACAGAACTTGTACTGCGTGTGCATTGTGTCCAAAATCTCGTCATCTCCTTTAAGTTACAAATCGGGAAATTGTACTATATCCATGGGGTTCGCCGGCGTGTTTCGAAAAGGGTGAAGCCCCTACTCAACCGATGGGGCAGCCAGAAAATTATGATTTTACTGATCGACACAGAGTACACATGACAGAGGAATAAGTTATTTTAAATATTTTTCATTCTATTTATTGTCATTTATCACACACTGACAATTACAAAACATTTAGGTTGACTGTTTGGAGCCGGGACAGCTCAGTCGGTATAGCTACGGGCGGGACGCCCGAGATGTCGGAGTTCGAGTAGCGGTAGGGCAACAATTTTCTCTTCTTCAGGTCGTTCAGACCGGCTCTGGGGTCCACCCAACCTCCTATCCAAAGGGTACTGGGGGCTCTTTCCCCGGGGGTTAAGCGGCCTGGACGTGGAGCTAACCACTCACCTCTAACTTGGTGCAGAGGTCAAGAAAACGCAGATCTCTACATCCACTCCCCCATACGCCTTCATGGTGTAGTACTTGATTGGCTAAGCACAGGGACAATTTACCTTACCTTTACCTGAGGTTGTCTGTTTACCCTACATGTTTCGACATATAAAATGTCATCTTCATGGGTGCGTGTTTTTATGTTATAAACTAAACATTAGCTCAAGGTTTGTAACATAAAGGTAAACTCTGTAAGAGAAACATATAACCCTGAAGATGACAATGTATATGTCGAAACATGTAGACGATCAGCCTAAATGTGTTGTGACTGACTGACTGACTGTATATGATAAATAATAATAAATAACTTATGGATTACACTGACACGCAGCTCAAACTTAAAAACGCTTCGTTCTTATGACGGGCATTGTCCTCAGCACTTGCAACCTACTCGTGCAGCAAATAAATAGAATTACGATTGATTTCCAACAGACGCAGCCATGTCTGTGGTAATAAAATGGAACCGTTACATATTTCGGCCAATGGCGACCATCATCGGAGGGCACCAACACTTCAAAGGAAATGTTTCACATGTATTTTGCGCATGTATTTTCTTGTAAGTGTTAAAACACTAACTTCACAGAGCTAAGCCTTTCCTAACAATTCGATAGTTGAGCAGCTACTCAAGAATTTCCCAACATTTCACGGGGTCCGAAGGTTCATTACCGTATTCACAACAGGCCTCCACTGGTCTCGATCCTGAGCCACAACAATCCAGTCCATACCACCCCATCCTACCTCTCTAAGATCCATTTTAATATTATTCACCCATCTACGTCTAGTCTTCTTAGTGATCTCTTTCCTTATAGCTTTCCCCACGAAAATCCTATCTGCACCATTCTCCCCCCATTCGTGCTACTGGCAACACTAGCATTTAAACATGTTTTGTTACAAATAATACAATTTTTAGATTGATTGGAATCTTGCTGTGAGTCACAGCGATGGTCGATGCTGTACTTCATGGAATTCAATCATAACTTTACTTATACTTTTCATTTTATTTGCAAATATTTGGTACATTTTCTTCTTTGTTCAATTCTGATAATCCCCCCCCCCTCCGGCTGTGACTACATATTACCAAAATTTTGGTGATCCTACCTTTGCCTGGAAGGTGATTCCATGCTGGAAGGCCTCCTCTGAGTGCAGTGGTATCCGTGTATCATAATCATCGTTTTGAACAAGATTGTACTGCTTCTTGGACGGCATAGCAACAACACAAAGATGTAGTGCACACTGTAGTTCAAACTGGAATGACACACATCACTCAGTTCCAGTCAAACGCCGCTATGATTCACTTCTAATGTTCTCCGTTTCCTTATAATTCCAACTTGTATCACACTTATTACGCCAGCACACGTGGTATGATTCCATTCAACAACTATGTACACGAAAATGACGACGCTACAACGATCTACGGGGTAAACCAACACAAAACGCGGGCCTATTATACCTGAGTTCATAGAACCTCATGGGGGAATGTCAATTACTCTGTTAACACTCGCTCCAATGCGAAGATGCTGTGGCAACACAGCCGGCCGGTGTATATATCTCTCCTCTTCTTGTCATTGGAACTCGACACAGAAATAGCACAGACTCAAGAACTTTAGCATGCTTGCCTTTACAACTAGCATTTAATTTACTGCTCTATAACAAAATGTAACATACAAAAATGAATGGAGAGGAATCGATAAAACAATGACGGAGGTACAAATAACATTTTATAGAATAAATGGCTTCCCTTCGTTGCAGCTCTGATTGAAAATCTGAAAAGATAAAGAGATTCCACTCCTCTGTTTCATATGGCTTGAATCGTATCTGATATGTGTTGATTCCACTACTTACGTATTTCACACACTAACTTGGCACATTACACTAATGGCACGTTGATTATTTTACGCAATAACGTAAAATATAAATAGAGATTTATAAATGCTGAGGACAGAACCCAGTCCCTCCAAGCCACAATGCCAGCTACCACAATTTACGCGGTATAGTATGGTTTCACTCGTGCATTGCAAGATGCTGGAAATCTCGTTGTCTCAGCGACCCCTCGAACACAACCGCCTGCCCTTCAGTTAAGCTCACCGGCCGTCCACACGAACTTACCGGTCTGACGGGGCCCTCCCGCGTCCTGCAAACATGCAGCTCCCGCCATGACCGGCCATGACTACAACGTAACGGTCACGTGCAGCTAGCAGAGCCATCTACTATACAAACGACGAACTGTAACCAGTCGGCAACGAAGGCAACTTTGTCACCGACATACAGAATTTCCCGGCAATTCCTGGCGATAATTTTAAGCTCCCCGGGTACATCTAGGCCAATTTTTTTTTTAATTTGTTAAATTATCCTGTGTCCTACTTAGGATTGAACAAAAACACACTTTTAAAACTAGGTAAAGTTTTTTGTATCAGTAGTTGGTAATTTCATTTTTTTTTACTCTAAATTCTGTTTTCCAGAAATCAGAGGGGTGGGAGAACTGCCTCTCTTTCTGCCCCTGCAAATGTATATTAAATATATTTGAAAAGACACATCTTAAGGCAATAGGTCAGAGTCAGGAGGTGACTTGATTGGACTATGACACTTAGCAGTGTTCAAAATTTGTTTCTGCTTCCATATTCAATTAGTAAGATGGATCTCAAGGAAGTTGAAGATGCGAGGTGGATGGAACTGGCTCAGGATCATGTCCAATAACAGACGCTAGTAAACATAACACAACACCTCTCAAAGACAGGTGAGAAATGATACAAAATTTTAGTCACAGAATCTGAATGGAACAGATGACATAGGACACAAATGCATAACTGGGAAAATAATCTTAAGAACTGAGTTCAACTCAACCAGGATAAGTCTCGGTACTAGGATCTAGTGTACATGGTAACAAACCTTCGGCTTCCACAGAAAGCAGGATCCCCAGAAGGCCTGTGTTCTACAGAGTAAGCTGATATACCACAGTCAAAGAGTTACTTTATGCCTGGCAGTTTCATTTCATCTTGGAGCCTAGCCCCTTGGAGCTCAAGACCAGAGATATTTTTTTCAACTGAACCCTCAAGTTGATAGTCCTTATCTAAAATTATGAATATGCTTGCCCTTCTCAAGTATATATATATATGATTTAGCATCAAATGAAGTATTGGTGGCAGAACAGTAATGACCAATTATAAAATATTATCTGAGCATTTCATCAAAAAATGATGATGGTCAACGGTATCTTGCACAATCTCAAATTGAGTTCCATTCAGATACAAAATAAAACACTGCTCACACTAACTTGCTCATTTTACTGAATGGATGGATGGACAGATGGATGGGCAGATATACAAGTTAACGCAGAAATAGGATATAACCTAAAGGCCAGTATTTTACTTCAAGTTTTGGTCCAACTGATACATTCTTCAGTTTGTAAATCAAGAAAAATTCATAAAAAAAATTAGAACAGTAAACATTTCATGTTAATATTTCTGTTTCACAATAAGAGCCTCAAATGTTTCTATTCTGTGCTTCAGTGAGCATCATTAAGCTCCATACATTCCAGCAACTTCCTAGAGAAAACTTGCAGTGGCTCTCCATTGCCAAGAACTCCAATAGAGGCAGTAATGTCTCTTATATACGAGTATAAAGATATTTCATCAACGCCATTCATACATTTCTTTTCTAGTACAGATCTGTTCATAACCTCCAGTAAAAATTCTATTAGAATATTGAACATAACAATTGAACATGAATCTTTTATACGGGGAGGAAGTTGCCCCAGAACATGCAATATCTTAATAAATATCTTCACTTGGTCTCCTGTTGGCAAGCTCTTCAAGTGTGAAATTTCTTCATCCTGCAAAATAAAATGTAAATACATAATGATACGGGAATTTGATGGGCAACTTCATATAAGACAACTTCTCAGATCAATTCCATAACAGAAAGATATTATTAACCCTTTCTTATGGGCCGCGCTATAGCTCAAGCGGTTAGTCGCTGGCTTCCCACTGTGGCAACCCGCGGCTGGTAAAGTGAGATTTGTGGTGGACAAAGTTGCGCTGGGGCGGGTTTCCTCCGAGTACTTCAGTTTCCCCTGCCAATCTTCATTCCACCAAATTTACCATCATCATACTCACCCGGGGCAGGCTACAATAGGCCAATCAATGGCCACCGTGCCAAGTGGACCAAGTTGGAATCCACCCCCCACTAAGCGAATTAAAAAAAAAAAAACTTTTTATCCACTGTCAGAAACCGTCCACTGCCAACTTCATGATTTTAGTGCCACATTGTTAGCACATGTGGAATGTTACATCTTTGTTCATTATATTCTTTGATATAACTTCATGTAGTTTATATATGGCAGAGAGAGATGTCAGGACCCTTGTATCTATCTATACCAAAGCATCCCCCCCCCACACACACACACACACACACAAAACAAATTTAACAGATGGTAAAAATGAGCTTCTAAATAAAAAGGAAGGGATAAACCCACACCAACTGTGAAAGTTACGGTCTTTTGGTATGTGATGATCCTTCCAAACTAAAGTCATGAAGATGGAAGCAGCACACTCTTCTGAAGTACTGGTACCTTTCTACCAAACTGCATGGCATCACATCCTCACACTGTAATCTTCATATTCTTTCCCATGAGAACCTCACATCTTGCAAATCATGTCAACATCCATTTTATCACTTCTAAGTAATTTATACATAATGATGGAAGGAACATTACTGCCCTCTGTCATATGACTCCTTGTAGTCTGGTAAAGTGTTACCAATGTTTCTGAGGAACCTGACATGTCCAGCTTCAGGGTAGAAGATGTTGGTAACAGTCTACCAGACTACATGGCATCATATCACAGATATCTTCATAGTAACAACCATAGGAACTTCAAAGTAAACAAAGATGGAGCATTTAATCAGAGAATATTTTATGAAATAAATTAAGAAAATTAAGAAAAAAGTAAAGCTATCCCTGTAATGAGCTGTAGAGGCCCATAGGGTTGTGAGACATCGAGGCTGCCATACCTTCTAGACAACTGGCTCACAGATGGTGGTGAGGTTGTCAACCTTACATGCCAGCTGGCCAGCCTTTAGCCCCAGGAAGGTTCCCAGTACTCATTTCTGTTAGAGGCTGAGTTGACCCCACAGCCATTCTGTGGCTGGAAGGATTAGGTCAATAGGTGTGTTAGTAAATCTGGCTTCTTACTTCTTTCAGAAGTTACTAAGGCAAGGGTAACCCCCTTCCATATTAATTGGTACAAACCTTCAAAATCAATCCTAAGTTCCTGATACAGTAATCCAGACAAGAGAGGACACACTCATTTTCTTGGATACCTTTCCTTTTAATAAGACTGAGGAGCAATAAAACTGAATCAGCAAATATATGGATCTGTGGAGCACTGTCCTCCGTGCCCATGCACATCTTTTGCATCCCCTTGGCCAACATTTTCCATTCCATGGCAGTACATAATGGCAACAGCTGGAAACAAATATTAAAGATCAATTAACAAAATACAGTCTATAAGGACATTGTTCTTATTATTATTCTTCTCCCTCCTCTTCCTTCACTTCATGGCTGATCCCACTCCACATACCCATGGTCTTTCTCAGTCTCCCTATTCCTCTGGCTTGCAATATACAGTATAAAAAGGTAAAGCTGTCCATCTGCTTAATTAAACAAAAAATATACAGCTGCTCAGGATACGAGAGTTGGGTGCTGAAGACCAAACAACAGCGAAATCCATCTGATAACTGCATCAAGTTCCAACAGAATCTATTATTTCGTATTTGGTTCTCCAGCATGCATACTGCTACTTTTCTGAAGATACTACTACGTACGTAGTTTTATTTAGGGACGGCGTCTCCATACACTACCAAAATTTAGTCATAATCATTATGGCCGCTCTTGTGAAAATCGCCACTTTGTATTTTGATGCCCATCTGAATGGCCTCTATTTCTAGAGGAGGAATGTTCACATTTGATGGGAACTGACCTATGATGGAAAAACTTTTAAATATTAAAAGCAAATAAAATACATTCAAACAGTCAGGTACTAGTGATAGTACATCCCCAGAGACACACACCAAAAGCTACTTTTCATATTCAGAAGGGCTCAACACATGTAAATACATCTGAATCTTAGACTGATCCTTTGGGAGTAAACTTTATATACAGATAAGAGAAAACATCTTTAAAAACTGCACACACCTTTGAAAATGGAAAGAGAATACAGTGTTCTTTATTTTCCACAGCCTCAAATAACTCCAGTGCCTTTCTGTTACTGTCATCACTGAAGTCATCATTCTGCATCACCTCAAGAGGGAAGATGATCAAATTACATGGTGATGATGCCCATTCTCTTCCAAATTTAGTCCACAGCTTGCTGAAGTAACGTTTGTTAAGCGGAGACACAAATTTATCAAGCTTAGTCTGAAGCCATCTCACCTCCCTATCTGTAACAAACAAAGTGTTCTTCTACCCTGAAGATGTGGGAGGCAGGTTCCTGGAAAACACTACACCCACCTACAAGGTTCAATGCCATCGCATCCCGAATGACAGAAACCAGTTCAATATACAAGGAGCTCCTAGTCTCTCAAAGCTTTAATTCATTTTCATGCCATGACTACTTATGTCAACAGAATGAAAACAAAAACAAAGGAACAGCAATGCACTGAGGCTCCCACTGCAGTGACCATGAGGGCTACTACTACTTCACACATGAAACGATGTGTAACCCAGTACACAATCAGCGGAACATGCTGTCTCCATCTCCAGGCAAAGAGTAAACCAAGCAAGTAACCAGCAAGAAGCAGGTGGTGAGGACATGTCATAGCTCAGGGACTTAGTTGATGGCATCCCACCATGGTAACCCGGGTTCAGTCCCACGTCTGGGCACATGTGATTGGTGGTGGACAAAGCGGCACTGGGGCAGATTTCCCCTGGGTACTTTAATCTCCCTTGCCAATTCCCATTCCACCAATTGTTCCCCATTCATTAATCATCACTTCATCAATGCCGATCACAGCGGCCCTGCAGTCTAAGGCACGAACTGTCTTCCCCCGCTAGAACACTTGGATCATGGGTTCAAATCCCACTTGAGGCAAGGACGTCTGTGTGCATTTGTTCTGTATATGTAGCAGCCTTGCAATGCACTGAACCCCCCTCTTTCCAAGGAGTCTTACCAAGTGTGTATAGATTAAGAAACTGAAAAAGAGGCCAAGGACCACAAGGGCTGTAGACCCATGGACAGATATAGTCTCAATATTGACAGTGTCATTTAATAACTAACTTTAGATAAAACAGAAGCAAGCCATCAACTGGGTGAAGGAGTTCAGAGCCTTCATGCTGTCACCACACCATCTTCATCATTCTTCCTTCCACCAGCTCTCCTTCTGCTGCCACTTCCTCCCTTTATTCCCCTCTGCTTTCTTACAGCCCACTCATGACACTTCCCTCCTACCTTCTCCCACCTCCATACTTCGCAACTACTGACCCTCTTCATGCCAGTTCTTGAGTAACTGCACCACTGGCGGCTTCGCAAGAAGGGCTCAGTTCCATGAGTGAGTGAGTTTTGGGCCAGCTTTAGTTACTCTCCCCTTTGATCCTAATGGGTAACTCTGAGCTCCTTTACAGGTCTACAGCTGCACCAGGTTTTCTACACAGCTCACCTTCCTCGCCAGGTATTTGCCTGGTTTACTTTGCAGTCCTGTTAATGGAGTCATCAAGTTACTCCAAAATATCAGTGAACTTCTACTAGACTACAAGGTGTCACAGTGCTCTCCAAAATGAGCACACCCATAGTTTTGATGCCACAACAAATTATTAAGCTCTAAATATAATTTCATACAAACTATGCAGGTACACTGAAATTCCTATTTATTGAACCCGTGTGAGAGGGAATGGCTTTTCTTATACTAAATGGAGGAGTACAATAAATGTGGGTCATGCAGAGATACACTGAGAACGTATTCATCTTCTTAAATGATTTACTGTTTCTACACAAATAAATACAAGTGGATAATCAACAATATTAAATTAATTTAAAAAATAATTAATAACAGGAAATAAACACTGCAAGATCAAAATAAAAAATCAAAGCCACTATGATGACACAAGTGCCATGGTTTTGGCATGCGTTCAATACGTGATGTCACTTGCCAAAGATTACAATTGTGCTGTAACAATTTCTGACAGTGGGAAAACATGAATATAAATTCTTGTTTCGATCACAGTAACATTATATCGACGTATAATTTGTGGAAGAACAAAACTGTCTTACACAAAATGGGGGTTATTTACTAATTAAAAATTTACCAAACATGAAAATAATACTTGTTCATAATGGGATTCAGCTGGGACCAGACAAAGTATTCACCGCATAAGGAATTTCACTAAATGCAGTATATGAAATCATAATTTTGCTGTACACAGTTACATGATGATGTACCTTCAGTGGCTTTTGTACCCAGGAAGGTCTTCATTACATTCCTGACAATGGCGCACACTTCCTCACACACCGACACAGCTCCGCCTGAGAATGTCAGTATGTTCCACCTGCTGACTTCAAGAACTTGGGCCAAGACAACCAGCAGAGGACACTCTGCTACCCCACTGCAGCTTGTTACTGTCCCGTCTGTGAATGACTACAAGATACCAATGACCATTTAATTTGTCTGTATTTGTCAGAAGATGCATTGCTCTTTGGAATACACAGCCATCTGTCAATATATACAGAGTGTCCTGATGAAGGGTATTCAAAATAAAATTGTATATCTAGAAAACTTAATGTCATACATGTATCCCATTCATGTCATCACAAAGGAAAACCCTGAAATTTTTTGTCATGCCTGGCTTATGCGTGTGCACCAGCTGGAGACCTTCGGCAGCCTCAGTAAAGATGTTGATACCATAAGAATAGGTTCAATGCATGTTATGGTTAGCAGAGTTGCAATGTCTTACAGCTGTCCAGCATCAATCTAGACGGCAATATGGACTGAGGACTACAGGTAGTCTGTTGCATGTAAAATCTTCTGGAAAGGCATAGACCTCTGAAGAAAATATCAATCGCATTAGAGAGCCATTCCAGCAAAGTCCGCGCATATCAATTTGTGCTGCTAGCTTGCAGTTATGTACAAATTCCACATTCAACAGTGCACGGTGTGCTACACAACAGGCTCCACCTAAGAGCATACAATCCCACCTCGTGACTCAAGGTGCACGGGTTCAAACCTGGCGGAGGTCATGGAATTTTTAAGGGCGGAAAAATTCAGGGAACAAGTCCTCTGGGAGGGACTTTAAGCCGTGGGTCCCGTGTCGTGGCTTTACGGCATGTAAAAGAACCTCATGTCTCAAGGGGACCTCTGAGCCAAATTCAGGACATTTCCCACCCAACAGTAGTCTCTAACGCCTCAGGTAAATCGGGGAAGCATCGAGATACTGCTGAGCCAGTAGAGGCCGAATTCGCTGGCTGAGTTGGGACTGATGGCACGCACCAGTACCGGTAGGGTAAAGAGACCGGTAGAATATCACAGGGGACACACAATGGACCAATATTTGGTCTAAGTGCATGGGGAAACCCACCCTCTCCAATAACAACAACAACAACAACAACAAGAGCATACAAGATTCAAATGATTCATGCACTGAAACCAAGTGACCAAGTAGCACGCACAAAGTTTGCTGCAGACATGTTAGGAAGAATTGATTTCCTACACCAAGCATGCTTCTCGGACAAGGTGACTTTCCATGTCAATGGAACTGTCAACAGGTACAACTGCAGGTTTGGGGCAGTCAAAATCCACATGTCACATGTGAGTTGGAGTGAGGCAGCCCCAAAGTGAATGTGTGGGTCTGCTTAATGCATGATAAGTTGACTGGACCCATTTTCTTTTTGGAAAAAAGACTGTGACTGGACGTTTGGACATGCTGGAGCTGTATGCACTGCCCCAGTTACAACCTCAAACTATCCTCAAACAAGATGGGGCGCCACCACATTTCTGTCACCATGTTAGGCTCACCTGGACAGAGAGACCGCTGGGAGATGGATTGGCAGAGATGGACCAATCACTAGGCCTCCTAGGTCACCAGACTTTTCTTGTGGGGTTATGTGAAGAACACTGTCTTATGGGTTAAGATCAACAACCTTTAATACCTGAAAGCCCACATAAGGGACGCCATGGTTATGGTAACACCAAACATGCTTCAAGCATGGATATTTGTTGTGCCATCAAGGGAGAAAGTTATATACTCGGAAAAATAACTTTGATAGTTTTCCTTTCTAATGATGTAACCCATAAATGTGTATAATAAATGCTTTCTGAGATATAATTATTTTATTTTGAATACCTTTCATCTGGACACCCTGTATATGTTTCTTATTTGTAGCTGAGTTCCTTTCTCAATACCCACATTTTGTTCATTCTTCTCATTCCTTCTTGACGTCTCCCTATCCTTGTTCTGTCTACTGTCCTTAAGCATACAGATTTGAAATCATTTCATACATACATAAAACTGCTCAGAAAATTAGCCTGTGCCATGTTTACTCACATGTAATGTTTCCAGCCATAGCAACAGCTGTGACCAGTTCCTTACACTGAGACTCTCATGTAATGCAGGCAACAAACATCTCCTAAGAAACACTGAACCGTCAACAATATCATGGTTTATGAGAGTGACAGCCTGAAACAATTGAACACAACAAACATTAGAAAACTGTTCGGGCTGTAGTCACTGGGCTTGTGATATTGAAATATTTTGGTGGCTACTGATGTTTCAGAGTGACATGGTGTCTCCTTTCTCAGGGTAAAAGCGACATGCAAGCTGGAACCAAGGTGATTGCTTAGAGCCGAGGACATGAAGGCCAGTGGCAGCCAACTGTCAGGAAAACAGCTCTACTCAAGACTTTCCTTGCAACCTGACCACAATCTCACTCCACTCACTTGAACCCTGACGATAAAGACATCAATATACAGGACTATAATGTCACAGCCCAAAGGACCACAATCTGAACAAACACCTGCTGCCTCAATTTTCAGGAAGAGAAGAGCAAACGGTGTGGGAAACCCAGGAATCAGGCTGACCTTGTCCCTTCCTCGTTGCGCTATATCCACACACCCACCTTCCTGCATGGCATACTCCTCTGCCCTGAACATGCGAGCAGCTAGTTATTTTAAAACAGTAAGTACTTTTCTACTCTAATTATATGTCACATGCCAGATGATAGTGAGAGTGTCAGCACTAAAAACATATGACACCTACAAGGTTTACGAAATTTGATTTCTCCAGATCACTCAAATCATTCTTCATAACGCTACTTAGCAGAGACATCAGAAGAGACATCTTCTCATTTCCGGATGCCACAGACATCTCGTCTAGTTCACAGACACTCAGCACTGGATTCAAGCATTCCAGAACTTCAACCATCAGTGGAACCTGCTTAGAGTTTGTCAGTCCTTCATGCAATATCTTCATGACCACTCCAGCTGGACTCTGCATACAGAGCAACAGAAACTCTGAAAAGAACTGAAATACAAACAATAACATTAATTGCATTGCCGGGAAAGGACTAGTCTGTGTGTGCGCAACAGTGAATTATAAAGTTTGGAAACAGCGATAGCCCTGTATTAAATGTGATTAAGATGGATTGTAACCACAGTGGTAATAAATCTAATCATCCGAACTAGTACCAGTCATTCTTGTCACATGTACCGACCTACAAGTGCCAATATGAAGAACTGAATACAGCGGAACCTCCTTTTAATGTCCCTTGATTTCAGATTTCCCCTCATTCAATGTTCAATTTTGAAGATCCCAAGTCAACAATCTCACTGTTGAATTACTCATATTTAGTGTTTGAATAGGCCACGCCATAGCTCAAGCCGTTAGTTGCTGGCTTCCCACTGCGGCAGCCCAAGTTCAAACCTAGGTCTGGTCAAGTGGGATATGTGGTGGACAAAGTGGCGCTGGGGCAGGTTTTCTCCTAGTACTTCAGTTTCCCCTGCCAATCTTCATTCCACCAAATTCTCCATCATCATAATCACCCGGGGCAGGTACAATAGGCCAATGAGTGGCCGCTGTACCAAGTGGACCCAGTTGGACTCCACCCCCCACTATGTGAATAGTGTTCAAATACACCGATAAAATAAAACAAGTAAAGCTACCCCTGTAACAGGCCATGAAGGCCCATAGAGTTGTGAGACGTTGAGGGTCTCACATTATCTAGACAATCGGCTCAAAGATGGCGGTAAGGTTGTCAGCCTTACGCACCAGCCACGCTTCACTCTCCAGGAAAGTGATTTAATTAATTCCTGGTACTCATTTCTGTTAGAGGCTGAGTTGACCCCAGGGATAGTGCAGCTGGAAGGATTAGGTCAATTAAAAAAAATTCAATGACCTCATCGGGACTTGAACCAGCGACCTCTCGAATACACTGATACCAAAAAGATACCTTAAATGGGGGTTTCACCAGAAATTGTATGGGAAAGTATTTATATCAAATGTTTGATTCACCTTCTCCTTCTTCCCTGTCATTGTCACAGCTTTATTGAAGGCCTCCGTAGCCACTAGATGGAAATCATCCATCAAGAAGCTCACACCATTGCCAAATGTCACAAAAAACCACTGGACAGTATCAACCTGCTGTTCCAGAGATAAATGCTTCAAGCAGTCCAATCCGACATGCTTTATTTTACTGCACTGTTGATCGGCAGGTATTGAGCCAAGCGTGGCAACAATCTTTTCAAGAATCACTTTCACATCTTCACATTCTGCTAAGTGCAAATTATTTTTAAGACACTCCATACACCTCTCGTCAGACACAATAAACTCATTCAATCCAAGCAAAGCTTTAAACCATTTCCTCTGGGATTTTGAGGTGTCCGAAATATTCTTGATAATCAATTCTAAGTCTGCTTCTCTTATCTCATCAACTTCATCTCTGGGTTTCACCGCCATGGTTGACAGCATGGCGATCAGTTCACCTGATAATGGGAATTCAGCGTCACCATTCCGGACTTCCTTCAGTGCTTCAGAACACAAATACATGGCTTCACTTATTTCATTTTGTAAAGTTCGATCATTGTTTGCATCATCAGCATCACATTCTGCCCAAAATAACCATATATCTACTGTAATTGCACAAAAATTATTTTTGCAGGCTGACATAAGTTCATCAATATAATTTTTTGAAGTTACTTCCTTATTTTCAACTGCATCACAAAATTCTGGCAGAGACATATCATAAACTCCTGCTACATCCAACTCTTGGTCTAGTGGATTCAAATACAGTTTCAAGCAGCTTAACATCAATGATAAGATGCACCTCATTGCAAAACCGGCTAGGCGATACAGTTCCTGGGGACTAACATTACCCACCTCCTTTAAATTAGGATTTACAAAATACTGCAGTAAACTTTTCAAATAGCCATATAAATTCAACTTTGTACCGTTCATATCTGTACGGTGAAAGCGTTCAAGTCTTATATATTTACAGTAAACTGCTTTAGAAAGATCTTCAACAATCGGCAGAGCACGCAAAGGGCCCACAGAACCTATTTTGTCCAGAATCATATCAAGCAACTCTGCACCGAGTGCCAGGGGACAATAAATAATGCTTTCATATGTATATTTATGCAATGATAAATGCCATATCAATTCAACCATTAAGTCTTTGCTTAAGCTGGGAGCACAACTGACGATATGGCCACAGTTTGTATCATCAATCAGTTTTTCCTGAACACTGAGATCAGTGTTCAGCACAAGGAACATATGAATCCGCCTTAAACTCTGATCCTGCTTGGCATCCAACTTTGTTCCAGCCTCTATCCCCTTGCCAGCGATAATCTTGCGAAGCGCATCAACAACAGCGTTGATTCTGGAGTCATCACCTATAAAACAGATCATCAGTATATTATCAACTATTTTAACCACCCAGGACACTGATAAGAAATAAATAATGAGGAGCTTCATGACTTGTATTCTCCACCAAATATTATCAGGAGGACCATTTCAAGGGGAATCATGCAGGCACTGCATGCAGCATGCATGAGAGAAAAGAAAAAAGGATTGAAAATTTCAGTCAGAAAATCTGAAGACTGGAGACCACTTGGGAGGCCTCGATGTATGTATGAGCACAGAATTAATCTTAAGAAAGAGGAAAAAAAGGATATGGATTGGATTCACCCAGCTCAGCAAAGCATATGGTGGAAGGCTCTCACAAACATGGTTAATGAGCAGTAGTATCTTGCGGAATGGGATGCTGTGTAGTACAGTAGAAATCACTCATCACAGTTAACGATGTGAGAACCTTGAACTCAATGGTAATGAGCATTCACATCCCATACAAGGGGAGGAATTTCTTGACCAGTTTGGACACTATTAATTTTTGTTATGCTAGTGGCGTGGGAGTAAAACCCTTGTAAGACACAATAGATCACTGTGGTTGCAGTGCAAGGGTCAAGATGGCCCACCCCTTACATATTCATTCAAGTCCCTTGTATTGTGGCCACTTCTGGCCTATTGTACCAGCCGCAGATGACAGGTGAGGGTGATTGTGGAGCAATTGGTGCAATGAAGATTGGCAGGGGAGACCGAAGTACTCAGAGAAAACCTGCCCCAGCGCCACTTTGTCCACCACAAATCCCACTTGACCAGAGCCGGGATCGAACCCTGGCCGCCGCAGTGGGAAGCCAGTGACTAACTGATGGTGCAGCCCTTGGACACTATTAACTTCTCAAAAAAGTCTGCATGGAATCTGTTACCTTTTTAAATATCGTTTTTTAATCATAACTATAGAAAGCTTTGGTACCATCATTTAAATCTTCCACCACAGTGTACTGTAGTACTTTCACATTGTTTGGGTATTATGACATAAAGATATTATGAACAAGGAACGATGATGAAAAGCAGAAGACTGTATATAAATAAGAAAAAAAACAGTTTACAAAAACAAATTATTTTCTGTATTTGAGATCCAACTCCTTGTAGCAGTCCTTGAGAAGTTGAGAGTTGAATGTGACTGATCTGAGCTGTGACCATTATGTATTATTTCATATACATGCGTCTACTATACAAATACAAATTAATTCATGGATTATTTACCATTTTTTGATGACAAGAACCGGAGGTCTCCTACTGTCTTTTGTACACTAATAAGAGAACCTTGAACTACAGCAAATTCTTCACTGAATTCCATACTTCCTATACAGATGTATTCAATTCACGTTCTTTTTCATTCCTCATAGCATTCATCCCAAACACTGACGCTGTCATACCCGGTCATACCACCAATCTACAAGGTTATTTACGGATGTTATCTCCAAACGAGTCCTTCCGACTCTTTCCAGGCTTCAGACCCTTCACACCTTCCGCCACTTCAGACTACGTTAAACCACCATCCCAATAACAACACGTGTAATTTTTCAAAGTTGAATTTCCCTATTTATCACGTGCTCGAGGTGCAAAGGAATACATTACATTACACAGAGCTGAAATTACAATCTATGTTTGCCATCCGTGGTTACAAATAATATCACCATCAAAATGATTGAATGCAACATAAAACAAAATTTATTTATACAAATAGCTGCTGTTATAGACTCAATTAAAACGTGTTCCTAGCTGAATCCTGTGGCGAACGATGTTGAATCATAATGTTCTAATAATAAACATCTGATAAGAATAAACGACTCTTTAAACTGGATTGAATTAGACAAGTTGGCAAAATTATCATCAGGCACTGTATTCAGTACGGTTTTCTATGTAGTCACGGATCGTCATAGTGGTCATAGTCATAGTAAACCGTGGCAACATACTCCCCCATATACAATATTAGACTGAATTACGTCATCAGGCAGGAACATGTCTCCTTGTGTAAGATGGCCTTTGTCGATGAAAGAATTGTAGGGTTATGTTGACTACGGAATTAAAATAGTAAAAAATTTTAAATCAATTTGTTAATGACATTTAAGTTTCATGTTACAGTTTACCTATTCAAATAAAAAGAATGTTCGAGAACCGATATATACACTTCCACGCATGAATTTAGCACACACGCCAATGCGCGCTGCCATTCTAAAAATTTCTGTATAGCCACGTAGTTAAAATTAATATACGAGTTAATTTTAATACAAATTACACGGATCGTGTGTACGAAAATAAAACTGAATTATAATGTATATTCCTTTTAAATTACTTCAAAGTGTTTGTTAAGATAAGAATTAATTTGCATAAAGTGGCCAGTAACACAGATATGCACTCCGATTACATTGCGAGGTTTCACAATTTTCTTTGTGCTACCTGCTTTGAAGCATTACAGTCGTGCTTGCACTGTGAATATACAGTAATTTAGTTACCTATAACAATGAATATAATAACATGCATTGCTCCTGTCAATATTGCGGTAATCAAGTACTGTAAGTAAATTTCATTCTTAATTCCAAATTTCTTAACAGCAATTTAAAGCTGAATCGGTGGAATTATTAACTTTGATAGACAAGTGTGACTAGGCAGCATATTTGTCAGCAATCTTTGGAACTGAACCATAAAAAGGTGCTTGTATTGATGATGGACATGTGTTTGCCTTGTCAACACCAAACCGAAGGCAGAAATTTACCAGACCTAACAACTATGATTTACTTTAGTTAACCCCCTTAAAAATACAGATTTCTTGAGCTTTATTTGCTAAACTTAACCAAAGTCTAACCTAACTTAAAGAGAGGCTCCTTAACTTTGACAACAGCTGCCAAATGTAGGCTGTCATTCAGAAATGGAGGTCATGGAAAGACTGGGTTTCCTGATTAACATGAAATTATTACTTGAGTCTCATAAGTATATTACACATAGCATAGTATATACAAGGCAGTGTCACCTTGAAGGTGAGTACTGTGCAGCAAGCTCTTTGATGCTAAGCCTCTCCCCAGAATAGGTGAACTCTTCTTCCTGTGTCTAGAAGAGACAGGACACGTTGAATGAAGGTTGAGCACCGTCAGATTTCTTGGTTAGGTTTAATAATAATATATATATAATGCAATAATGTTTAATTTAATTGTGTTATTTTTATGTGATGTATTCGCTGTTATTTCTTGACATGTCCCATTGTATTCACTCCAGTTGTGGACGAAAATAAAGTTGAAAATTGAAAGCTTCAAGACCATTGTTTGCAGAAATCACAGAGCCGATTTGTGCAGCTATAATATTCAGTACCATACAAAATGTTTTAGTTAATTTATTCTGTATCTTTATTCATTCTTTAGCTCTTTTGTACAGTCACAGTGGTGAATTAAGAGAGAACACTGTAGCCAACACAGATGCCCCAGTTTATGAAATAGTACACTCATCCTTACAAATATTACAAGATATCTACTGATTTTGCAGGGGGAAAACGGGATGAGAAGTTGATACTACCTTTAAATGATTCTGTCAGCGCTACACTGAGCATCAAAGAAGTAAGTTCCCTCATGCCATGAGCCAGTAGTTCCCATTTCCTATCTACCACTGTATTACATTAGCCATAACAGTAGTTCAGAAACCAAAGCAGTGCCAAAATCATACCCTATTTTTTCTACTGTAACATAAAGTGAAGGCGAGGTGATTGGCTCGAAAGTTTTCTCACCCTCCATGGCCTGTAGTCCGCAAGCAAACTATACCAACCAAGCGACTGCCGCTTGTCAGCGAAGTCAACCCAACTTTCGCAGATAGAGGTGCCACATGGTCAGCGCAATGAATCTCCATGGCCATTAATCTCGGTTTTCTAGACCGGAGCCGCTATTTCCTTGAACTACCTATTCAGTTATCCTCACGAGACTGAGTGAACCCCGTTCCAGACTCACTACTTCTCAGAAAATCTAGAAGGGCCGGGAATTGAACCCGGGACCTCTGGATCTGTAGCCAGGAACTCTGACCACTAGACCACAGAGGTGGTCATTTTCTCACCCTCACTTTCAATAAACTCTGAGCTCTATAACCATAGCAGTAAGGAGGTACCTTGAACAACAATGCAATAGCTATGTCAGAATAATTTACACTGGCCAAATCTAAAAGAATACATAATGCAATTATGATCTTGTTTCTTGAAAATTTTAAACCTAAAAAATTTCACAACCTATTCAATATTTTTAGGCTTAAAATTCCAATGTGTCATCTCACTTCATTTTTGTGTCAATACGATCACAGGTTATACAGCCAGAAATTTGTTGCAAAAATAATTTAAAAAAAGAACTGGCTGATTCAATTTTTATGTACCATGCTCCTTTCTTGAACTGGAATGGAAGGCTTTGGAACCTCACATAAATATCGAAAGGAGCAAGACCTACTGATGTAATAAATAAGGCATATTTACGAGGTAGTCATCTGCTATGCCCACAGTTCATGTGGCTCTTCACACACAAAAAGTCAAAAGAGAAGTGCATTCAGCATCTTTTGTTGCATTTGTTGAATCCTCAACAGTGAACAGTTGATTAGGGTTCATCATGCACATCTTTAAATTGGTAAGAATTTCTGTCCACTGGTTTGAGAGCATTCTTAGCTTTTGTTTGGATGATGGCAGTAACATCAGAATCTAGGGCAGAAAAACTGTAAGAGCTGTCATTACCCAAATTAGAAACTTTATTTTTGTGATTACACAAAAGTTGTTAATTTTACAGATGCATGCCAAGACAACCGTGATGGCCAGTCCAAATTTTAAAGAAGACAAAATATGGTTGAATGGAAAGTAAGTCTTTGCAGCATCAGCTGTTTTCAGTTGTATCTCAGGATAGTGTCTACTAACTTTTTTGGGTGTTACTGTATTTGCAGATGTACATATGTGTATTTAATGAAAGAAACTGGGAATTTTCATGCATAAGAAGTCTGAATTGCTTGGTCCCTGGAAAACCTTTGATGAAACATATGCAAGCCACTTTGTGTTGTAGGAATATACTTCTTATTCTGAAACCAAAAGCCCGTACCCAGCTGTGTTCTGTCTTCCCTGTCAGTGCTGCAGCTATGTATTATTTTATTGCATGCAGTATTATTAATGAGTGATTAATTAAGTCATTTATTTCAGAGAAGAAACATTTCAGAATCAAAGGCTGCAGAGCTGTTTACAAGAGAGTGAGTATACATAAATATGATATATGCATGAATATGGATTGTTGGTAGTGGTTGAGAACAGTATCAGAAGATGATAGCAATAAATGACAATGAGTCATACCTATCCTTCAATTGGTACAGCAGTCTCAGTCTTTGCTGAAAAAGTTACATAATCTGTATATTTAGTCTGTGATTTCAAAGTGTCCTTCACAGGCTATATATAATCTGTAAGTGAGGCTATAGCTACGATACCCATGTGGAGGAGGGGTCGAATACCTCCACCGTGACCCTGCAAGTTGTAGGAGGCGACAAAAAGGGAAGTCTCAAATCTGAGACAGTAAAATAAGGTCACGAGTCCCAATGGACTTGTATCCAAGAAAGATTACGCTAGCAAGGGCCAGCAGAATATACAAAAGACAGACTCGTCCTCCCGTCAGAGAAGGTGCCCCACAAAAACAAGACCGTAACTGTGAAACAGTAAGAAATATCTGGTCATGAGCCTCAGATGGGGCTCTACATCAAAACTTACTGACTGATTGACCATCAATCCTAATGTAACTTTGGCTTTGGCTTTGACTATAACTATGAAAGAGGAATTGTCAAGATTTGCAACAAACATTTCAGTAGTACAGGTGATTCTTCTTATGGCATGGCTTTGATACCTGCGTTTTTGCATACCCGCAGTTTCATTTCAGCGTAATGAGATCCCTTAATGAATGACCTATCCACAGCCACGGTAGACGCAATCATGAATGCCCAGTGAGCTGTGAGTCAGTCTCCCTGACTCGTCCAGCCATTTTGACTGTCATATAGTTTTCCACTCCCTCTTTTACATACTCAGTAAGCGGTCAGAGCCACTTCTCATTTTACACGCTCTTGCATCACGACTTTCATGAATTCATGAATTCTGGCTTTCATAATGAAGTATTGCTAATGTTAAGTGCATCATTATATAATGAAATGTTGCAGTTCGAAGAAGAGCCAAGCAGAAGGCAGATAACAAAGGCGATAGCATCAGTAACTGGAGCATCCATGTATGCTCTGAAAATAATTTTCCAACAGCAGCTGGACTTGCCTCTTCTGCTGCTGGCTATGCTTGTCTTGGTATGTTGAATTAGAGCATAATGTTATTCTCATTTATGACATAAAGATGTATATTCATGATGCTGATATCTTGTGTCTCTCTAATGATATGTAAAATTGCCTGTATACCTTTTATACAACTTCATGGCATAGTGCTTAAGTACAACATGGCCACTGCATGAAATATGCAGAGGGGGCCAAAAAATATATACACACCGTTCTACCACCATTTTCTTTGACTGTCCTGCCATCTGATAAGGTGGCTCTGGCACTAATGTGACTAGCACCATCTTTCGAGAAAATATCACTACACAGCATACATTATATTTCAGTCCAACTTTGAAAATGTCCATAGACAATCTCTATTAAGGTGTGTATACATTTTTTTGGCCCCCCTATATATTTAGAATTTTTTGCAGGTAGATTTTTGCTCCTGACTGCAAAGCATCAGGTTCAGATCTGGATGATGTTATTTTGGTGGACTAAGTGACACTGAAGCAGGGTTTCCACTGTTTCGTCAGTTTTACCTTCAGTAATTGTTTCACCATTGCTCCATGTTAATCCACAATTACCCCTTGAGGTGTGCAGTAGTTGTGACCATAGAGCACATTATCACGACCTCGGTGTTTAAGTTTGGGGCTTTATCTCTAACCCAGCACTTGGCTGGTCACAGGGTCAGGAAGATTTCTTTAACTACTACTGATGAATCATTCTGAGCTGGACGTGTGGAATTTGGTATAAGGTTACATCATTACCTGTAAATTCTGTGTGAAATCCTTATATATGTGAACAGTTATAAAAATGGCAATACTACAAAACTTTGGCAGTACAGCTGACAAATTTCAGCATGATCAGAGTCATCACTAATGGAAAATTATGTACAATTTCTATACTTCAGAACTGTGTCTTGTGTCACTTTGTTTACAGGGAGAACTTTGTCAAATTATTTCTTCACGGTTATTCACTGCCTTGTTGATCTTAAAGTTCAGTCCCATTCATGCTTCAAAACATGTAAAGTGCAGATATTTATTTATATCATATGATTATTTATGCGATGATCCTAATTTGAACTGCTGGTTTGAATGGATATGAGGTCTCTCACATTAAAGGAGTAATAGAGATTGCCAGTGTCTGAGGACAGGGGGGTTAGGAGAATATTTTGACCCATGAAAGAAACGTGACAGGAATATGGAGAAAAATTCATAATGAGGGGCTTCATAATTTGTACTCTTCACCACATATTATTAGAGTGGTAAGTCAAGAAGATTTGATGGGTGGGGCATTAAAAAGATCGGAAATGTGTACAACATTTTGATCTGAATACTTAAATGGATCTTAGTGTTTGAGCATGTGGAGTGGATTTATTTGGCTCAGGATGGAGACCAGTTGCAGGCTCAATGAACCTATGGGTTCATGAAGGGTAGGAAAGTTTCTGGCTAGGTGACTGGCTATTACCTTCACAAACACGACTTTGCTGCATGAAGTTAGTGACATTTATCTGAAAATTCGTGTTTTCAGTGTTTGCCTTGGCTCAGCTGTACGACGTGAGCGGAGACATCTCCGGAATTGCTCGACAAGGGTCAGGCAGTGCTTGCCGCAGTTTGTATGGAGGATTTGTTCGGTGGCACCAAGGTTCTGCCTTGGATGGTTCTGATTCCATAGCTACACAAGTTGCTCCAGAATCTCACTGGCCTGAAATGAGAATTTTGGTTCTAGTGGTAAAACATAAGTATTTACTTACTTCAGTGTGTGTTTGCAGATGCTGTTAGTATAATGTGCTCAAAGGTTGCACACGTAAAAAAAGAAAAAGAAAAGTTATTCCTGTAATAGGCTGTCGAGGACCCCCCACATTTTTCTACACAATCGGCTCACAGATGGCAGTGATGTTGACAGCCTTACGTGCCGGCTGCCCTTTACCCCCCTCCCCGGAAGATTCCTGGCACTCATTTCTGTTAGAGCATGAGTTGCAACCCAGGGGCCATAGTGCGGCTGGATAATATTTAAATGGACCTTAAAGAAATAGTATAGGAGGGTGTGGGCTGGATTCATCCTGCTCAGGATAGGGCCAAGTGGCAGGCTCTTGTGAACATGGTAATGAACTTTTGGTTTCCATAAAATGCCAAGAATATCTTGAGCGGGTGAGTAACCATTGGCTTCTCAGTAGGGACTCAGCTCCATGAGTTAGTTACATTAAATTATATCTTTACAAATTTCAATGTAAGGAGGTGTAAGTAACAGAAGAATAGAGAAAAATTCTTAATGAGCTTCATAATTTGTGTTCTTCATCAGATATTATTAAGTATCCTGATGCATATGAAGTGGTCCTGAATTATGAATACTGCAAGCAAATTTATGTAATTGGTTCGCTGATTTTCAGGTGAGCGATAAGCGCAAGAAAGTGAGCAGCTCTGCTGGCATGCAGAACAGCGTGAACACAAGTGAACTGCTGAAGTATCGTGTGTCTCACTGCGTTCCTCAGCGAACCGAAGCTATTGTAAAGGTGTGACCATCTTACAGGCAGATCTTCACTAGGAACTGTTTGAGCGACTTGCATGATCCATGTGCAAAGATACTTAACATTTCCTATGCTACAAATGAGATATCTCAGTAGCAGGACTGGTCTCATTTGCTATGAATGTCTGTCCTATTATCTCATGCTCTTTACCAAGTTTCTAACTTGCTGGTTGTTATAGAAACATGCAGATAAAAGAAGGCAGTTCAACTGAAAAGGAAACTTAGCTCATAAAAAATTCAGTGATACGCAGTATCTCAGCTTAATGAAACCATCTGATACAACTGTGTATTCAAATCTTGTACGGAAATGTTCATTTCATCTTACAGTTTTTCACAGGATGCTGCCATTTTCAGGGGTGTATAATAAAGTATAGAAGCTATAACCAGTTTCCCAGCTGAGATTAAAAAATCTTGGCCAGGACATAAGGTATCCTGGCTGACGTTTTTTGTGGGTTTCCTCAGTCCCTCCAGGCAAATTCCGGGATATTATCTCAATTAGGCCATGATCACTTACATACAGGTCCTTTCCAATACATCTTCATGCTAGATATTGATGTCATCACTAAACAGCCCACAAACAATTAATCTGTCGCTCGGTCGGTATACTCAAAAAGTGGACTATAGGCCACGGAGGTGTTTTTTTTGTTTTTGTTTTTGTTTTTTTTTTTTGGTCTGGTAGAGCAGTGGATGCACTGGTTCCAGTAGTTGGATATTCACAGAAAATGCTTCTTTACAAGCGCTTGAAACCCATGTTGTACCTTAGCACCCTTTTGCAGTCGCTACTAGAATCACACTGCACACCCCAAAAAGCCAATGCATGTGGCACAGAGCGAGGAACTACATTGACTTCATTTAAAAACACTGATCACAGTAGCCTGGAAGACACAGCAGTTCCTCCCTGAACTTCAACACCCTGATAATGGCCGAGCAGGTCGAAACGTGTAGTGCAGTAACGATTTTTAAAAAGGATTGAATTTAAAACCCGTATTTTGCAATTTTTTTAAATACTGGATCATATGGTAATCAGAGACCCTAGAAATTTAACATTTTCATCCTTAGGTTGCTGTGTGTGAGAGAAAGATGTATGCAGACAGGATGTTGTATGTTATTGCATTGCTTTCCATTATATTGCACTGCCTCATGTTATTTGTCACTGTTCTTCCTGTCCTGTGAGATTGACTTTTGTGGTTTATTTTGCAACGCATTCAATATCTTTGACTTTATATCATTTAATGTTATGGAGAGGATTTGGAAGACAGTGATCATGGTTTGCTTGAGAAAGACCACACAAGGACCTGTCAGGATAGCCAATGTCCTGGCTGAGACTTGAACCAAGTATCTCCCAAATACAAATCTAGAGCATTACCACTATTCTGATCTGCTAATTAAAATGTATGGTTCACCCATTCACCTCCATCTTTAATGTAACTTAAAACTGTTCACAAACTTTCTTTAATTTAAACTAACATTAACATCAGTTGCTACATGTTTCAGCCCTACTTGGCCATATTCAGGCCTGAAGAGAGGTCTGAGAGACTGTGGACAGTTTTAAGTTGCATTAAACACAGAGGCGAATGAACAAGTGATACATCAATGCACCAGGACACTCAAATATAATAACAATGTAAGGTTGTTAAGAGATGGCTTCATTTAGTTGATTCATGAGAGAAATGTACAAAGGTAACAAAGGCTTCTTCAGATATAGGGTGTGACATGATATGAAATGAAATTGTATGGATGTATTATGATTCTATCTGTTCCAGGCAATTATTAACAAGGATTTCGATACTTTTGCTGACATAACAATGAAAGACAGCAATCAGTTCCATGCTGTATGTTTGGATACTTTCCCTCCAAATGTTTACATGAATGATACATCCCATGCCATTGTCAATCTTATCCACAGCTATAACACTGCCAGTGAGAAGAATAAGGTTAGTATGGAAATACTGCGTAAGACCTATTGAGAATTAAGCTGGAAGCCTTATCATTTGGTATCATTAATTTCCCCTATTTTTTCCTATATTTTTTCCCAGTCCTACATGTTATCAAATGGTGCATTTAGGCCAACATTTAATGACATCTCCCATGAATAATATGCCCAAATAGTCAATTGTGAGCTGTCTCCTTTATATAGTATACTACACTTCACATATCCACAACAGAATATTATGAGTACTCACAGAATAGACACGATATACTGAAACAAGTGCTAACTTACGTTTATGCATGACATTAACACATGACAATTTGTTGCTATGGTAACCCAAAATTTTGTATATTCTCTCTCAAGCATATCAAAAGGTCACAGTAAAAGTCAGAGTTGACCATAGTGTTAGGAGGAACAAATTCACAGTGAACTATTCCCCTTCATGTCCTCCCCAAAAAAGAAACCAATGTACATGCTCTTTGTTAACTCCAGAAACTGCCACGCATTCTTCTTTGCTGTTGGTGATTATAGTCTCTTCCACTATGATAATTGTTGCTTTATTTCTGGATCATAACCATAAATCCAACTTTCATAACCTGTTATGATCCTAGAGATACTCTTAAAAGCTGCATCCTTGTTAGCTTTCTCTCGTAGCTCAAGACACATGTCTACGCACCGCTGTGATCATTTGTCAAGAGTTGGGGAACAAACTTGACTGCAATGTGGCACATTTGTATTTTCTGTTAAGATCTCCTGGTGAACTCCGTAACTGATCCCAACGGTGTTTGCGAACTCATGGATTGTTCGACGATGGTCTTTGTGGATGAATTCTCGAATTTTTTCAACATATTCCATCGTTTTGCTGGTGGTTGCCCTAACATTCATCAGCTTCAACTGACACTCAACCAGCCTAGGAACATGGGTGCCATTCAAAAGCCACTATCCAGCTTAAAGAATGTCCTCCAAAAGCCTTATGAAGCATTTCAAGGGTTTCGGTAGCAGATTTACCGAGCTTCATGCAAAACTTGATGCAGACACGTTCCTTGATTTTGCCATCTATTACAGACAAAATTAAACACAAAGTCAAAAAAGCACTCATGTAAAAACAATGCATGTTCACAGCGCAGTGTCACGTGGCAGACTGATGCAATAAGCTTGCAGAAATGTGACCTGGGCCTCCCCTCTTGTCCTCTTTCACCAAGACAGTGACAACAGTAACAGTCCGGAAACTGTGACTGTTATGCACTTTCACGTACCTGTGGTTTTATTTAATTATCATGAGTGGCATCAGTGTTATGCCTGTGACCACAGTAGCAGCTGCCACGCCACCAGATATGTGGGCAGTTTCCTTGACTTACCTAACCATTTTAACTCACTCATGTCATTACCTACTCTTTCCAATTTTACATGCTTTCCATACATGCATGAATATTTAGGACTGCAACTCCTGAATATAATGAGAGACCAGAGATTTCAGACCTCCAGAATGTTTACAATATTATATTACACACGTAGTACAGACAAGCAGCGGCATTCACACAAGAAGACTACATTAAATAACACCTGTACAGTGTGAAAACAAGAACTAGCCGCTCCAGCACTTAGACATAGGGCGAGTAACCCTAAGAATTTTAAATTTAAAATTTAAAATTTAGAGAAAATTTTAAAAGATTTTAAAAACATCATAACTAAAGATTTTTAGAGTGCTACTACAAGAATATCGGGTTTGACGTGTGCAACATAATCTACATACCAGACACATATCAACGATGTAGATGTTGATAATACGAAGAACGTGACATTGTGTTTTTAAATGTTAAGTTTTAGACTGGGTTCAGTGTGGCAGCAACGTTAAGAGTATACACCTGATGATGGCCGATAGAGGCTGAAACATGTAGTGTAGAAAGAACAAGATCAAAGACATATAAATGTATATTGTTTGCACTTAGGACGGAGTTTGTATCATTTATCCTCCAGAATGTGTTCGTAGGATCTTCACCTCATATAACTGTTTTCTTTGCAGGTCACATACACATTTGATGCCGGCCCAAATGCTTGTCTCTATCTCCTGCAATCTGAAGTTCCAAAGCTGCTAGCTGTTCTTAATCATATCTTTCCAGCAGGGAATGAAAGTGTGGAATATTTGCAGGGCATTCCTGTGGAGAAACAGGCTGTTTCACAGGTTAACATAATTAATGTTTTGAATTCTTGTAGGTTTGTGTAAGACACATCAAATTTCAGTGATTATATTATGTGACTATGATTAATATTCATGATAGCATATCCTATACAACAGGCATGATCAAAGTGTCGATCGCGGGACGATTTTTGGTCGATCTCATAGGCCTATAAGGAAATTATATGTGAAAAGCATGTAAATTCACTTGTAATATAATATGATTATATTCAGATTTTGAAGGGAAAATACGTATTAAAGTAGTCTGTACTTTCGATGTATGTTGCTTTTACAACAAACATCATGTGTCATGTTATTTTTACCAATATTGTTGCTTACAGTGAGGTACGATAGGAAGGGGTGGTAGATCACTGGCAGTTTTGACACTAAAAAGTCGATCACAACCTGTCTGAAGTTGGACGTGCCTGCTATACGACATTATTCATACATTTTTATTTTCTAACATTTCATCCTTCACTTTTCCAACTGACTTTCATCTCTACAGTTTCTGGGTTCCTACACACTGTCCACTGTCTAGTATTCCAAACACAACACAAAGCAGGCTGCTCTAGCAGTTATGCTCTATAGATCTGGTTCAAATCTTGGCTAAACATCACCTACCTGATGGGGTTTTTTGTGGTTTTCCTCTAGGATAGTACCTCAGTTAGGCCATGAGCATTTCCTTCCAAACCCTTGATACAGACAGCAGCAAAAATAACCCCAAGAAAAAGATCACAAATTGGACACTTGAGCTGTTTCTGTACTGTGATGAAAAAGGAGGTGAGGAACCTACTCAGGTGGGTTTCTTCATAGGAAGGGATACTCTTAACATCTGGACCTGTGACTGGGACTGGCTCTTACAAGCAAACAGTTGCCTCTCCACCACAGTTCCCAAAACAAGGTGTTCTGTAAGAACCTCAAATGCTAAGTTGTGTTGTTTGGAATACTACACAATGTAGCCGCCCGCCCACACACAGCTGCCACAACTCTTGCTCCAGATGAGTTCTTTATATCAGGGATACAGGTGCTTCGGATATGGGAGTTGAACACACTTTGGGGTTCATGAATTACGGGGTCTCCAGAACACACCGTGCATTGCAGTCTTAATTTAAAATTTCGTACAGTGATCAATCTTTACATTATTCTTCCAAGCTAGCCACTCCATCCATCCTACTCGCTACCCCTACCATAAAACACTTCTCTGTTCTCTGTCTACATTTTAACAACCGTCCTCCACTCCCTATAACCAGCTGCCCTCTCTTTACAAGTCCCCCAGTGGGCATAAAACAAAACCAGAAAATAACAAGAGAAAGACAAGGGTCGAGCCCAGCATCTGTCCTACATTCGCATTTTTCGAGATGCCCATCATAAACCTTTTTAGGTCTTCAAGGCACACAAGCAGGGAACCCAAGACCCCTCCTGGCCGATCTTGCACACTGTCAGCCCATGGGTTTATGACACTAGGAGCAAACAGGTGACGTTAGGGACAATAGTGACACCCTAAGCTTAAGGACAATAGTTGAATTAAAACTAGACGGTCCCGGGATGGTATCTCGCCAGAGGAGCGTCTCTCAGGGTGTGAAACAATGCATAAATTCATCATGCCCTTAATTAAATAATTTTGGTGAGGGGCATATGGTTACAACAATGGGAACCTTCTATAAACCTAGTACCCCAACTACTCCTTGGCACTATGACCCTCTGAGAACTTTGACCTCCTTAACATATGCCCATTTTTACTGCTGTAAGAGCCTGAGATCTCATGTTTCATTTAATATGTTTTATTTTCCGTAGGAGTTCATTGCAGCCATTGGTATGCAGCCACAGGAACCAGGACTTTTGAAGTATATGATTCACACCGAAGTAGGTGTTGGACCACAGGTGTTGAATGAACCACGCCATCATCTTCTTACAGATGCTGGATTCCCAAAAGCGTCGGTGTGAACAATTCACAACTACATACATTTCTCATGCATTTATCTGTGTTGTTCTCAGGAAGAGGTACTATTATAGTCTTGTGATTACTGATCACATGTTAGAGCAGTGTAACTTGTCTGCATCATTTGAGTCTATGTACTCTTCTCGTCAATCAGGATTCTGACCAATCAACAGAAGTATTCAGCGTTTCTGTTTGCTAGTACTTCGAACCTATTCTGACTGGTAAAATTGCGATGGATTTTCTGAGAAACAGCCCTGTCCGTGCTTCACTGTATGGAAAATATAATGCTGAATATTTTGCATTATGGCCCCCTTTGTAATAAGTACCATTTCTTCTCTACTATTTGCTTTTTGCTACCACCTCTTCACCTTTAGCTCTCATATATCATTCTCTGCATCTCCCAGCCATGTCAGTATGGTTCTTTTCACCTTCCTTCCATTTTCTAGCTCACTTTCAAGAATTTTCTTATTCACCTTTGTTCATCCTTTGCAACCTCTCCAACCTCCTCCCGTTATTATCTGCTGCCAGATCAGGGATTTTATACAATTCCCCGAGTTCTTACTTACTTCTGGTTCTCCCTAGCTCTTGCTCAGTTACTAGTCCATACAAAGTAATCTACAGATATAATTATCCCTAGGGCAACTAAATATGCTTATTTGCAATGTAAAATTAATAGTTTTATGTAATATTAAAACTGAGAAATTGTAACAATTTCGTTTCACTATGAGTTGGTCATACCCCCAGGCTCTTTGCTGATCTGGAACACGTCCCTAATTGCAAACTGCGGGGGTCTGTCTAGTTCTAAAAATCAACGTACACCCCTCAAATTAATGTATGGTAGTTATAAAATTTCAAAGCTGTTCTTCAGTTCTGAATTTAAAACTGTGAAGCGATTGTCAACCAACAAGAACAGCTGTATATCATATCTGTTTCTTCAAGCCTGAACCATTTTGCCAGACTACAATTTTATTTTTAAAACTACACCCCTGAATACAATTATATTATTAATATTTATGTACCTTGTAAGTGCTGGGTTTATGTGCTGCATTTATTTTAATGTATTAATTTGATAAGGAATTCTTCCAAACAATAAATACATCTATATTTTTATGCAGTTTAGCAGTTATTTTGCCGTTTCTTTCCCTTACACCAAAAACCGGGTTGTTTTATATTGCTCTCTGTATCTACACTCTGCAGTGTTGAGCGGTAGGATAACAGGAGTATGAATGGGAAAGGACTTCGAAAGGGACAGTCATGGTCTAATTGAGATACTATCCCAACACTTTCCTGGAGACCTAAGAAAATTATGAAAACCCTTTAGTCAGAAGAGCCAGTGTCTCAGCCAAGAACTGAACCAATCATCTTCTGAATACAAGTGTACAACATTACTGGGCATGAGGTAATTTTATTTATATCTAAGTTGTAAAATGGGAGCCAGGAGAGCACAGTCGGTATAGCGACTAGCTAGGGGCTGGACGGTCGAGGGGTCAGAGTTTGACTCCTGGTAGCATCAAGAATTTTCTCTTCTCTATGTAGTCCAGACCAGCTCTTGGGCCCATCTAGCCTCCTATCCAATGGATAAGGAGCCCTCTTTCTGGGGTAAAGTGGTCAGCGCATGAAGCTGACCACTCACCTCTGACTACTGCCGAGGTCAAGAAAACATGGATCTATACATCGACTCCCCATATGTCTTCATAGCATAGTGCTTAATTAGTTAAGCACAGGGACAACTTTACCCTATTTTTATGTTGTAAGAGGAAATATGTAATGGATTACAATGAGCAAATTTTGGAGACTGTCTTCTAGAATGTGATGCTGTTTAATCCAGTAGATAGGTAGCAACATTTTGGATGAATCTGTCATCTCTGTTTTCATAAATTGGGTAGAGTGAGGATCCAGTCAGGATAATTAGTGAGGGCGCATTCCTTTTCATCTGTTCCTATTGGCCTGAATTGATTCTGTCTCCTCTCCCCCTCCTGCAGATGAGAGTGCTCACCTTTCTTACAACCTCACCACATTTCCACCATACTCACTTCAACCCTGAAGATGGAAGCAGCATGTTCCTCCTAAATCCCAGTATCCACCTAAAAGACTATACTGTGTCACAGTCCTGAAGGTCAGTCTGAAAATTTATAATATTTACTGTTAAATTTATTGTGCTGAAGACAGAAGGCCGATCACAGTGCCCACGCAGTCTGAGTCATGAACTGTATCCACTTGCTCAAACACTGGGATTGTGGGTTCAAATCCCACTCAAGGCATGAATGTCTGTGTGCTTTCATTCTGGGTTTGTGTTGTCCTGTGTATAGGTAGTGGCCTTGTGACAGGCTGATCCCCCACCCAAGGAGTCCTAACCATCTGTGCAAAAAAAGATTATGAAACTGAAGAGGCCAGGGCCCAACAAATGGCTGTAGAGCCACTGGTGAATGAGGACAGAAGTTGACCCCCGGTGGCTGGGGCACTACTAACCACATTGCAACATGGTACCAGTGCCCTTGCTGTGCACACACCTGGGTAGCCTATGATTTATGCTGCCGCAATAGAGGCAATAGTCTTTCTGAAAGTCAGATAAGCCACAGTATCACGGCCGCAAATGTGTAGAAATCGTGTCTACATTTCCTTTACTCACTACGATTGTGTCATACTGAGGCAAGATATATGCAACACAAGGCAGACTTATCACCAAGGGCACCATCATAAACCATTTAACACTACTTTCACTTATCACCCTAGTGGATACAGGAGGGAATATCATCATCTTAACATATCTGTGTGGTGTTTTTCCAAAATGCCTGGATGGGGGTGTATGTGGCTAGGCACTGACTACTCATTCATTCTGAGGAACCATTTCCAGTGTGTTTCAATGCCATAACTACCATCTTCAGGGTAGAAGACAAAGCCAACAGCATCCTCAAAAATGTTAGTCACAACCGAATGACACTACTCTTCAAAGCAGAAACAGTTTCTGAAATACTGTAATTTTAAAATGATGGGAAATGTCCAAAATGTGAGTCAAACAGAACTCAAGAGCGTTTGGAAATGGGAGACTTCATAAAACAGTAACAAGTATAATGAATGAATAATAAACAAACTCACGTGGGATTAAAACACAGATCACAAACTTTGTATAATCTACACATGCTAATTCTACCACAGCAAATATATCAACAATATCCACTGGAGTACTTATCTATGAAACATGAAACAGGCATACAAGCAATTAAGAACAGAATACTATGATTTTTTAAAATATATTTACACAAAAAAATGCCAATTTTTAATTAGCTTACATTATATTTATCAAATAAGACAGGTATCACCATCCTACAACAAGATCTTTACTATACAAACATCCCTGGCCCAAATTCAGGTTTGACCCCTGTTCATTGGTGTTCTGAAAACAAAAGAAAATCAAATTGGTAGCAAGAGGTATTCCTGAGACATTTTACAGTGTTTCAGTGTTATAAATAATCAAGAAGAGACAAATTTATTTCTTTCATCAGTAAAATAAATTCACAAGGGAAAACAGATGGAGATAAATAGAAGACTACAAAATAATTCTACATGTTATCATCTTACAAAAGGAATATTATGCAACAGAGAGATCTCAAAGCAATGCAACACAAAAAGATCTATAAAACAAATTTTGAACTCACACTAACACAAAATGCCAAAACATGAACCCCTGCAAAAAGAAACAAAAGCAAAGTACAAGCAACGGATGTGACATTTTTGAGAAGTACTGAAGGAAATACAAGAAGGCTCTGAATATAAAAGAAATTTTTAAAAAGCTGGAATTCAGAATCTGTTCACACAGTGAGAAGAAAATTATTACAACAGGCTGGTCATATGATGTAAACAGATATAACAAATATATCAAGAAAGGTATTTGAATTGAAGTCTGAAGGAAAGAAACCCACAGGAAGACCCAGAACAAGATGGTTTGGCCAGACACTGCAAGACATCGAGGCAGGAAAGAGTTGGCAAGAAATAAAAAAAGGAAGACCGTGAAAAGACCCTGTGATATGATGCCTGAATGCCAGAAGTATGCAGTAAGAGAAGCACTGCAGATATGTCCATTGCTAGACAACAGCTTGCTAGGCATGTTCCCACAGCAATGGGTACACTCGTGAAAACCAGACCACTGCTACAAAATTAACACACGTTTCCGCAGCAACTGATAAGCATAGACTAGAAGAGGCACTGTTATAGGTGGTGACATACTCGGTTCGCCCTGAACTTATAAAGAGGGGACACATAACTGATTCATTCATAACACAGTTCAGAGTTCAGTCGCTGAACTGAGTTGAGTAACCAGCGGACAACAGAAACTGAAGAAGTGAATGATTTGTTAATCAGAACCAAGTCAGACACAGTAGAAGAGAAGAGGCTCGTAATCCAGTATGGAATGGAGCGAGTCTTAGACCGTCATTGAGTGTGAGCTCTTATAACTGATTGTAATTAAGAGATTGTACAAGACAGTGTTAATGAATCCAATCATCCAATCCTGAACCCATTATCATGAGTCACAGACCCCTGGACATGTGACAATACACATCAGAGGCTGTCTGTCCATACCCTCCATTAAATGGCAAGTGCTAGGGTGAGGAGAGTGGAGGGGGAAGGACAGGGGGGAGGACTTTAATGTACAATTAGTTACCAAAGGGATCACATATTAGTGCTAAATCTCTTTTAGTCAAGCACTGCACTGTCACTACACATTAGAACAAATCAAATCCATTCCTTGTTTGTTAGTACAGTAAACCCTCGCTAATCCTGATTAATTGGGGGAGGTCATCCGGATTAACTCATAATTTGGATTAATGAAACAAAAGTAGCCCTAAAAGGAAAAACTTAGAAAACAAATAAATGGAGAATTTAATAATATAGGAAGTGCTGATGAAAAAATAAATAAAAAAATATCACAGCAGCAATTTCTTTCTCTGTCAGAAGCTGAAATCCAGGGTCAAGCCAATCTCGGATATTTTCTTGCATGGATTCAGTCTCTGGCTGCCGTCAACACAGTCTGAAAGTCCTCCTGTTCGAATCCCTTTTGATCCTAAATGCCATGTGTCTTTTAAAGTATGTACCGAACTGTGAGCAGAATTTTTCATTTTCCATATTTTGATCCGGATTAGAGAGGGTTTACACCTGTTCTTCTACATTACTACAACTCAGTGCATAAACAACTATTACATAAACTTACAAATTTACAATAGGCAACTTTACAACAGTCTCTCACAGAATTACTTGGCACCTGTAAAACGAACACTCAATGAATTGCAAATTTTTGTTTCGAACCTCAGATACAATGCTTCCTCAGAGGCATCCCAGAATCTGTCATATACTTGTGATGTACTGTATTCACTTATGTTTTATTTAAATATGGAGTTAGTCACTGTATTTCAACCACAGTGGCTCAGGTTCAATCCCAATTCCGGTCATATGGAATTTGTGGTGCACAATATAGCACTGGAGTGAGATTTCTCCAAGTACATCCATTTCCCCTGCCAATTCTCATTCCACTAACTGCTTCACATTCATTAATCATGCTAACAGATGCTATATGGTCTCAATACTGACAGCATCATTAAATAACCAACTAAAAAAAATTAACAATGTCAGTAGCTCTCACTGAATAGCACTATGATGACAGGTTGACCAACAAACAACTGTGTCCTGATCTTGGGTTCTTATCCAGTATTTGCCTGAAAGGACTAAGGAAAATGACACAAAAACTTCAGCCAGAACAGGCAGTCCCTGGACCAAAATATGAACCCAGAAATTTTTTAAATGAAGCTGGAGTTCAGTATTTGTGATGTATACCTTCTGAAGTATGTCAACAATATTTTCATGCAATAAAAGCAGTTTTATTCATTATCAACAGCTGACTCTCTAATGAAGCGCATACCACAACGTTTACATAATTGCATTATTTTATCTATCTATGGTTCTACAGCCATTTCGTTGGACTTTGGTCACTTTTCAGTTTCTTGATTTTTTACACAGTCGGCAGTATTCCTTGGATGGGGGATCAGTCTGTCGCAAGGACACTACCTGCACACACAGAACAGCACACAGACATCCACGCCTAAGTGGGATTCGAACCCATGATCCCAGTGTTTCAGCGGGCAAAGACAGATCATGCCTTAGACCGTTTGCCCACTGGGATCGGCTACATTATTTTAAAAGAAATATTTAATACAGGATCTTTTGCTTGGAGGATGTCCTGAATTATAAATCACAATAATTTACCAATAAAACTGCATAATGAGGAGCTTCATAATTTGTACTCTTCTCCAAGTATAATTAGAATGGTCATGTCAAGGATGAGGTGGACAGGGCATGTAGCACGAATGGGGGAGAAGAGGAATGCATATAGGATATTGGTGGGAAAGCAAGAAGGAGAGAGATCACTGGGAAGACCAAGGTGTAGGTGGGTGGACAATATTAAAATGAATCTTAGATAGAGAGGATAGGATGGGATGCTATGGATGGAATTGATCTGGCTCAGGATAAGGACCAGTGGAGGGCTCTTGTGAACAGGGTAATGAACCTTCGGATTCCATAAAATACTGGGAAATTTTTGAGTGGCTGCAGAATTGGCTTCTTCTCAAGAAGGGCTCAGCTCCATAAGTAAGTAATAATTTACCAATGAAAATGAAGCTTAGCAAAACTGCGTACTTTCCAACACTGATCCAGTCCCTGCATGCCTGCCTGCCCAGTATGCGCCATTTTCATAATCAGCAACCCTGACTGCAACATTCACGAGCTTGGAGCATCATGTTGGCCCATGTCTTGAGGCAGAGGGAAACCAATATCAACATCTTCTGCAATCCAATTATTTCCACATCTACCAACCACATAACTGCCAGTTTCATTTTCATTGGTAAATTACTTCTTCGTTTATAACTATTAATTTTGGGCCTCCTCCAAGTGAATCACTCTGTACAAACACAAACTAATATTTACAGTTTAAAAATACTATATATGTAACTTGTGCTGACATAACACAGGATCCAAGACATGTCAAGACTTATCAATACAAGAAGCTTTACTATACACTACCACATTCAATAAGTTCGTGGAATGGCCGCAAAGCGTCGTACGGGAATTGACTGCCAATATGTTTCAGCAATGTTTTCGACAGCTATATCAACGTTGGCAGACTTGCATAGCGGCCAACTGCAACTATTTTGAGGGTGGATGTGGATCTGCGTAAGTGTACGTGATACCTTGTAATATGATGCGATAAAACCACATTCCACGAACTTAATGACTCTACCACGTACATCATGTTACAGATTCCGTAAATGCAACAAAATTATGGAATTTATTGGAATCAGCATACGCATTAAATTAATCACATTCCTTTACCACAATCAAAGTAATTACAACCGTACTAAAAAAAATTGTCAAAGCCTACCGATCTGTATTTTTAATTGTCTTTGAATGCATTAGGTTTAACCACAGTAAAAATAGTAGTGACTTAGTACAGATGGCTGGAACTTACTCTGTGCCTTGCCATCCTTCCATGGAGTGAATTTAATACTAGAATCCTCCCTTCTCGCAGCTTCTGTTCTGAATTCAGGTTTCAGTGCACGCCTCAACAAATTGGCAGCAATATTGGAATAATTTATGTAGCTGAAAGTATCATAAAATAAAACACTAAATGCCTGTATCACAGACATACTGTCCCATGTTAGTGACTAGCATGGGGTTGCTTTGATAACCTGATTTATTGAACATGTATAACTCCTAACTACAAGTCTCACTGAGTTACATGCTCTACAAATAACTACGGTACACGACAAGTCTCAATCTGTTACAGTCTTCACTGGTTGTTGTTTGCTAGGAGCTCCAACAATGGATATTCCTCTGCTTCTAAGCTCACGTCCTTATTGGCTGGTGACTGACTCTGAAGTCCTGGCTAACGGGTCGTGACTTCTGAGTCACAAGTAGTCACAGTCAAAATCAGAGTTCCTTTGTGACTGACGGTTTACCACCCACAACCAGAGATTTCTTTTTTCAACTGAACCCTTGCAGTAATAGTCCTTATGTAACATCCTCTCTGACGAGAAGATGAGTTTGTCTCTTATGAATGTGCTTGGCCCTTTGCCAAGAGTATGTATTGCACAAATAGCGTGTTACTGAAAATCCTTCCTTTTGCAATTCACACAAGTCCTCTGTCAGTACGGGCTTTACAGAGCAGATCATGCACATCTTACATATCTTATGCTACAATGACAACTTAGTCATTTGAACAGTCGTAAGCTTGACCACCACTGTGTTTAAGTCTCTTATATTTTCTATATCTGGCTTCACCTTGTCCTATACTGCGAACATGTTCCTTCTCATGATTTTGTATGACATCTGCTTGTTGCCTATAAAATTCAGTTACATAATAGCAATGACTAGTCAAAGTCAAAGTTAGCCATGATTATCATCCATCCTCTCTATAGCTTCCGTGAAGACCACATAGAAAACAATGTGTCCAACAGTCTTTTCATTGTTGTGTGCATATTCAATGCTGCAGAGGCATGTTTACCAATCCATTGCCTAGCAATTGCCGTCTCTATTCCTTAAACTATTGTGGCTTTCAGCTGTCATGTCATAACACTGTATCACAGCAATTACATTCAAGCTCCATATTGTCATGTTTACTTGACTCAATGAATGTTCTGGGGTACATGTTTGCCATTATGTCACTCACAATCAGCTCCTCCTGGTTTCATGAACTACAAGCTAAAATGTTCATATAGCAATAATTCCCTTAACCTTGTCTGAAGAAACTTCTTGCTATACAGCACTGATTGTATCAGTGATGGAGCATTCATTTAACCAAGTTAGCTTGGTTACCACTTTAACAAAAAACTGCTACATTTGTTTTTCAGTGGCACTCCAGATAGTGCATCATATACCACCTCTAGCGAGCCCATCACATGTCTTGTTAGCCAGTTCCTTCAGGCACATACTAGCTGCTTGCAAGCACAGATGAGATCTAATAAAGTCTTGAGAGAGTACACAACATTTCAAGCTACCACACTAAGCAAATGAGCAATGTTCACATACAGCAGTTGCCTGCCTGCTCAAAGCACAGAAATATTCTCAGTAAAAAAAAATATCATGCACAAAACTAAATGCTAGGTTTACAACAACAACAAAAAAGTATGCTCAAATATCACTACCTATCTATGCTTTGTTTACACTGCCTTCCTCATTAATTCCTTAACTTTACTCAAGTTCTGTTCAAAAGCACAGTTATCTTGTGTGATGCACATACTCAATTGCCTAACATTTTCACGACCTTCTTCTTCTTCAAGTTTGGGCTACCACTTTCAGAAAAGCTGCAGTCCACTACTGGTTCACAAATACTTTGGCAAGATGTTTGTCACATTCAGCAAAATTCCATTTACTAACACTCTAGACTTGCAATCATTTCAAGAGCCATCTGTGAAACTCTAGTATTTGAACTCCACGTTCCTGTATACCTCTGTAACATATGATCTATGATACTTATGCACTATGGTTATGGACAGCAGGAAGTAGGGGGAAAGACAATTTTTTAGATTAGTGGCAATTTTCCATTTTGTAGTTACTGATAAATTCGAAGTGGCAAGTCTATTTCGGCAACATTATATAGTTTCTAAACAGGTATTTCTCGTGTACAAATGAGAACTCCACAAGTAAAGTGTGTAGAAACTGTAAAGTACGAGAGTATTTTAAACAATACTTTTAATTGCATCTCTATAGGAACTGTTCTAAAACCAGTCTTTAATCGGTCCATGAAAAAAATATATATATATTTAATAGAATACAACGGAAATACATTACATGAATGTAACTCACGTTAAACCTGCCTGACGCCAAGAACTCATTTTGATTATATTCTTCTCCGAACCTTATGTCCTCCAAGTTCGAAGAAGACAAGAATGGCAAGGATACTGGAAACGGATGTTGAATACCGTCAAATTACGTTCAAGTATTTTTCTGATTTAAATTATAAATTCACATAAAACTCAAGGTTTTTAAATCAAACTATAAACAAAATTCAAGGATTTACGAAATAATAAATTCTGCTCCAAATTAAAGACAAATACTTGACTAAGTCATTTCGTAACATCGACTATCGACCTAATTGGATGTTATCGTGGCGGCGACTATGAATTTGTAACGCATATTTAACTGAAAGTATGTTTTTCTTATCCTGTTTACGCATCTCTTCTGTACGCACCTATCACAATTGTTAATCGAGATATAGCAAATTGGGGCGATTGGATTTCTGACTTTGTTATCATTATTAAACGCCAAATAAAGAATGCCGTGTTGTATTTTCATTAGAAAAGTCGAATCCTTCACTCAGTTTCCATATGGTACTAATTACGTGGCGTTTGGTCATGAGCAGTAATACAAATGCCGTGCAAATGGTTACATTTACTCCAATAAAAGAGGTGGGGCGGGAATATGAAAATATTGTGCAAACAGAAGAAACAGTGGCATCATGCCATAAAGTTTGGGATCCAGTGTTCTTAGGTATGAAGCTTTATTTCAATTTATTATCATTACCTTGATCAAGTCAACAGAGTATGTCTCACTGATTTCTGTTTCGCAATTTTGAGCAGAAAAGTCGTAATATTTAAAATGACTTTTCTGTTCTCACACTGGTTTCTGGAAAGAATATAACTTTGGTAGCTTTCAATCCAATCTAAGCTGGACAGTTATTATTAAACCTGGTATGATGACCATGAGCTTGATAGTCACCCCTCCCCCTTTACCCAAATTCCCGTGTTTAATTCACAATCTGCTTGACATAACATTTTATTATAAGAATCTGTGTGTCATAATAAAAATATGTGTATCTTTGTCTCATAAACACATATAGCAAACCCTCGCTAATCCAGAGTAATTGGAAGGATGAGAATATCCAGATTAAGTCATAATCCAGATTGGTGATGCAAAAGGTAGCCTAAAAGAAAAGAAACTTAGAACATAAATAAATGGAAAATTTAATGATATAAATAATGCTGCTGAAAATAACAAAATATCACTCTAGAGCCTTTATTTAAAATCTATAAAAAAGGCAATATATTTATTCATCAAAAGAAGACTCAGAAGTTGTACTTGTTTTCCAATTTAATAATGCAGGTTTGATGAAACTGTCAAGGTCCATCTGTCCATACAGGTAAATATTGTCTGATAATTTTCCTCTCCAGAATGGCCTAAAACAAGATTCTTTGTTGCCACTGCTTTTCAGCTTTGCTTTAGAATATGCCATTAGAAAGGTCCAGGAAAACCAGGTGGGACTGAAATTAAATGGGACACATCAGCTGTTAGCCTATGCTGATGATGTGAATCTACTGGCTGATAATATAGATACCATAAAGAAAAGCACACAAACTTTAATTGACACTAGTAAGTAGGTTGGCCTAGAAGTAAACACAGAGAAAACTATGCATATGTAGCTGTCTTGCCACCGGAATCCTGGGTAAAATCATGACATAAAGATAGCTAACAGATGCTTTGAAAATGTGGCACAGTTCAGAAATTTCAATTCAATTCTTTATTATTAATGTGCCGAGTCAACAGCCGCAAGGCCAATTACAGACACAGCACAGTGCAGATGAATGAATTACATTACAGTCAAACTTATTAAAAGTCACATACAAATTACAAATAAGTACTTGAGGCAAATAATAATGAATAAAAGTAAAAGTAAAAGTAAACAAACAAATAGCTGATATGGAATGAAACATAAATATTTAATAAAAATACTAACAGTTTACTATATTTAAAATTTGTTTGGGTAGAACATTCCTGGCTCCGAATACGTCAACATCCCTGCAGACAGCATTAGCAGCTGCTGCGCATCTAGCAGAGGGAACAACAATAACAAATCAAAACCTGATTCAGGAGTAAATTAAGAGGAGATTGAATTTGGGTAAGGCTTGCTACCATTCAGTCCAGTCATCTGGTCTGCTGTCTAGAAACACAAAACTTAGAATATACAAAACAATAATTTTGCCTGTGGTTCTCTGACATTAAGGGAGTAACACCAACTGAGGGTGTTTGAGAACAGGGTGTTGAGGAGAATATTTGGACCAAAGAGGGATGAGGTGACAGGTTGGAGGAAACTGCATAATGAGGAGCTTCATAACTTGTACTCTTCTCCAAGTATAATTAGAATGATCAAGTCATGGAGGATGTGGTGGGCAGGGCATGTAGCACGAATGGGGAGAAGAGGAATGCATATAGGATATTGGGGGAAAAACCAGAAGGAAAGAGACCACTAAGGAGACCAAGATGTAGGTTGGTGGATAATATTAAAATGGATATTATATTTAAGCATCCTGTTGCACTCTATACGGTAAATGATATAAGTCCGTCCCAAGTGCAAACAATATATTATATGTCCTTGATCTTGCGCTCCTTTACACTACATGTTTCGGCCGCAAACGGCCATCATCAGGTGTATACACTCACGTTGCTGTTACACTGCACTTAGTTTAAAATTTAACATTTAAAAACACATTGTTCCTTTCCTTGTTATTATCAACATCTACTTCATTGATATCTGCCTGGTTTGTAGATTATTTTANAAATTTAAAATTATTAAGGTTACTTGCCCTATGTCTAAAGTGCTGCAGCGGCTAGTTCTTGTTTCCACACTGTATAGGTGTTATCTGTAATCTATATAAATAAAAATATTCGTATTATTATCTTATGTGTTTATATTGTTATTTGTACTTACTCTGTGTAGTACAGCACACAATACATCAGACAGCACACGTAGTAAAGAATAGCAGCGGCATGCACACAGGAAGACTACACAGAGTAAGTACAAATAACAATATAAACACATAAGATAATAATACGAATATTTTTATTTATATAGATTACAGATAACACCTATACAGTGTGGAAACAAGAACTAGCCACTGCAGCACTTTAGACATAGGGCAAGTAACCTTAATAATTTTAAATTTAAAATTTTAAAATTTAGAGAAAATTTTTAAAATTAGAACTAAAGATTTTATAGTGCTACTAAAGGAAAATCAAAATTAATGTGTGTAAAATAATCTACAAACCAGACAGATATCAACGAAGTAGATGCTCATAATAACAAGGAAAGGAACAATGTGTTTTTAAATGTTAAATTTTAAACTAAGTGCAGTGTAACAGCAACGTGAGTGTATACACCTGATGATGGCTGTTTGAGGCCGAAACATGTAGTGTAAAGGAGCGCAAGATCAAGGACATATAATATATTGTTTGCACTTGGGACGGAGTTCATATCATTTATTAAAATGGATCTTAGAGATATAGGATGGGATGGATTGAATTAATCTGGCTCAGGGTAGGGATCAGTGGAGGGCTCTTATGAATACAGTAATAAACCTGCATGTTCTATAAAATGCTGGGAAGTTCTTGAGTACCTGCACAATTGGTGGCTTCTCTAGGACTCAGCTCCATGAGTGAGTCAAGTTTTATCTGGACAAGTGACTCATCTGCTCCCCTAATGCCATGTGTCTTAAGGCATGTATTCAACTGTGAACAGCATTTTTCATTTTTTGTATTTCGATCACGATTACCCAACCTCCGGATCAACTCTAACCAGTTCAGTGAGTGTTTCCTGTAATTGAAACTTCCTACTTCTGTGTTCTATTGTATTTTTTGTGGGCTATCTAACGGTGCTTTAAGTGTAGCACGTAGGATGACTGGGGAATGAGGAACTGGAACAGTTGGAAGGAAGCAATGATGTTCAATTTATGCGATTTCATCCTCCGTGACTATTTTTTGTAACACAACTATCACATAAATCAAGAAATACATGTATACTGTCTATAATTCCTTTTATAATAAGTTCTGAACAAACTGCCTAATTTTCATAAATCATTACAAGACGACCATGTCGCTGGAAGTCCCTCAGATATTTCTTAATCCTGTAAGATCTGAAGCTACTGCAGCAGCTGAAGTTAATAAAATCTTCTTCGACTATCAGCTGTGACATCTTACATCCCGTCAGACCTTGATGATGGGGACAGAGATGGTCCTTGATATGTTGATAATTTTTAACCAACTGACACTGCTGATAGCCTGCAAATATTTTATAATTTTCTTAACCCTTTTTATGCTGAGATTTATTCAATAATAATATCTTTCTTGTTCTGTGGACATCATCCATGGTAGATGACATGTAACTTTCGTTGATGAATAACCATAAAGAATTTGCATTATGAAACAAGAAACTCAATAATTAAGCTGAAATGGCAGTGTTCTTTAGTTATAAATCTCATCCACGGCACTGGAAGGGTTAAATCCTGAACTTCAATGATCCAACATGGCTATCATGAAAAATTAGGTATGGTTAACACAGTGGTGGAAAAGTGTCTTCTGGGATGTCATGTTGTGCAGTGTGGTAGAAGTTCACTGATATTTCAGAGGAACATACTGTCTCCATCTTCAATGTACAAAAAGCAGGCCAAGAAAGCATCATGCTGTCACATCCCAGATGAAAGTAATTTTCGGTCACTGCCAATAGCACTTCAAATGTATCGCAACACAGTACCTATTCATCATAAGGTTATTAACTTTGGTATCACAATACTTAAAAAAAAACTGTTTACATTATTCTGACAAAAGTAAAATATAACAAATTATTTTGAAATTCTTTTCAGCACTGAGACCTAATTTCATATCAAATATCAGGCCAGATTAATGTTTTAAGGTTTAATGAAATGTGGTATGTATTTCTTTTGAAGCTCGATAGCTTTGTAGTAACTTTCTACATCAAGGCCATCCAATTTCCTGAAGAAAAAAACTCTTATTTGTGGTTTTGCAAAGCAGAGCTCGACTTCACCATAAAGTTGAATAACTGTGTTATCCTGCGGATACACTTCCAATAAATGTAAATCTAATGCAATGCTATATGGCCCGCCCTGTTCAAACACACTAACTAATGTTGAGGGAAGTATGACTCTCCCCACAACTCGTACTTTTACATTGGCCCAGCGCTTGAGACTCGTGACCTCCGAAATTTCTTCTATAGCCATAGGAACATACGGCTTGCTCTGGTAATTTACTAATGGCGTGAAGATTTGACTTTGCACCATTAAGTTCTGAAACAAATAAAATTCTTTCAAATTATATATAAAACGGGACTTAAGAAACGAGAATGTTGTGATGTGGAGTGGATTAACCCAGCTTATATCAAAGGACACTCACCTGCTTCTCGCTGGAAAGGTGATCAGCCCCATGTTCTGCCTGATGTTTGAAACTCATATTCCACTCTATGACGGCACGTCTATCGATGTTGCCTAAGCTTTCGATATAAAATTGGATATAATGCAAACATGCCTCATGCAAGTCCTCGCGTCAGGAACGAACCACTTCCTTCAAGCCCTTCAAGCCTAATTTCACAATACAAGCCACTGCGGCTAATAAGTTATAACCGTTATAACGATACTCAGCCAACCATTTCCCGCGCTCATGTTTGTTTGAAGATGTGTGCGCTTCTAGCGGACACTTCGAAAATTATTTCAACAAACCTTCTAAACCAAAAAGTAACCATAAGCATTGGTACAAACATCATAGATCATATAGATTGTAAGATTTGAGGCTTTCACGGCGGTGACTACGAAGAAATCAGTCATCTGGGATTTGGCACCGTGTACATGTGGTGTTAACCGACGTTTCGGAGGAACGTATCGCCTCCATCTTCAGGGTAGAAGGAAAAATATAACAAATCCGCAGGCGAAGAGACCGTGAGAACCAGTAACCAGTCTGCTTTTACCGGTTCTCACGGTCTCTTCGCTTGCGGATTTCTTATATTTTTCCATCTACCCTGAAGATGGAGGCGATACGTTCTTCCGAAATGTCGGTTAACACCACATATACACGGTGCCAAATCCCAGAAGACTGCTTTCTTCATCATATAGATTAATGAGAGGTAGCGAATGTGCTAAGAAATTGTAGAGAAACCTTACCAATCTGTGAACTGAATAGAATGAGGGATGAAATAAAGGAAACTCAGAAAATTCTTAAAGTATGTGGAAGAACTTACTTGTTTGTACACAGACGTTGGCATGAACACGGCGAGTTTTAATATTTGTGTTACATCTTAGGGGAGGCTATGTAGGGACGAATGGTGAGCATTAAATTTTATTTAGAAATGGTCGTAGTCTATTTTCTTTGCGGGAATTTGCCCGAAGAGGGTGTGACAGAATTCGCGATGTGTAGTCTGTATGGTCTGTATGGCTGATGCCCCGGAAAGTACCGCATGCATACTTTTTCTAGTTTTTTTACCTTGCCCGTTAAATACGGTTTGGTTTGTCGTAAAATGACGATACCCCATCGAAATGTGCATCTCCTTGTGGCACGGTACCCTTTCTTCTGATTTCTAATCTTGATTAATTAATTCATCATTAATTACTTCGCAACTCATTTCGTCTTCTAACGCTGCAAAATTTATCGTCAGTTTTCCACAGCAATGTAATCTCACCTTCCACACGTCTTAATTATTGCACTTATTAATTTGTATGTAATAGTAATAATGTCTGTAAGTTATAATTGTTGCATTTTCAACAGAAACTTTATGGTTTCTACAAGTTTCAGGCTACTTTTACACGAAAATTACGCCAACAGGACAATGGACAATGACAAAAATAACATTCATGTGTAATCCTGTAACTCTTAGGTGCAACATTTTTAATCGTGTTAATATAAACCCTTAGTCTTATATTTTGACAAGTCTGAAAATTTATGCATAGTGTAACAATTCTGGTTCATTCACTTGCTTCTTTATTTTGAAAACTGTAAGACTTAAGAAAAAAGTGTACTAGACATGAAAATTTATTTCCTTTTTCTCAAAAATTTTTGACTGCAGTAGAATTTGGAAGTTACACTTAAAGATATGCACAGAAAGGTATGTAGGTCTTCATGTAAATTGTCCACTACTGTTTTCCAGTTTTGACTAAAATTTCAACGTATCAACAGATTTTAGCAAAATTCCCCTGTACCAAACTTATGGCAATGTGTTCAGCAGTTCTTGGGCCGTTTCACAGAGACAGACACAGCCTGTAATACAGACACACTCTGCAACTTCATGTTGCAGATGCACAAAAGGAAATTAAAATTACACCTCACTAAGTCATGCCTTGCCTGTTGTACTTATCTATGTACTAAATTCAACATGCAAAATTCATCATTGGTGAATTTCTAAATTACGTTTTATTTGCCTATCCATCATGTTATTTCTGCCACTGACAGAAAATGTATAATAAAAAATATGTCACTTTCCATTTTCCATGATCAAGTTCATTAAATATTTCTTTTCAAAGCATGTTGCATGAACATAACATTGCTCATTGAACATAAACACAGTCTGTCTTGCTGCATCACACTTCCTTATCTTTTTAAGTATTATGATTGCTTAAGTTTCAATTCCACTTTTAAAAAATCAGTCATTTTTCCCATTATGTCAAGCTATGTAAACTGTACACTAATTGTGACAAAAGCACCTTATGTTGTTGGTTCATAATGTTTCTTCTTAGCTTTAATTTATAATTATTACTAAGCTTTTTGAACTGCCATTCTAATGTCTTTAAACATTCGAATTTAAATTTCAGCTCTTAACACAATGTCCACATTTTCAAAATAAATGATGTTAGTACATCTTAAATACTCTCACAGATAAATACAATATAACCTATACTGTATCTAAAACATCTTTGAGGGTTCATCATCAGAGTGTTATTGACTGTTAGGGTCACACAGGACTTTTCTTCCATAAGGTTGCATACTGAAGGTTTGACATACCTCGGAGATGTTTTAGGCTGACATTAATCATGATTGCTATGCATTCATTTTACAGGAATTTTATATTGTCATATTTTACTAAAATAATAAAATTTCTCCATCTACAGTGAGACCACCAAAAGAAGTACCATGGATTAATTCCCTCCACATCTCCCCTGACCTGTTATGCTTCATGCTCCACTCATTCATTCTTCTCAAAAAAAAAATACTGACAGTGATAATCATGTGATCGACACAGACCTGAGGGGACTGCAGTGGTAGGCAGAGATGGGGAAGCCTCAAGCACTATGATCCCAATCATCCATAGAATTTTCCCGTGGCATCAATATAATTATTTTCAAATTTATACAGTCTATCCACATGAATACTTTATTGCTGAAACTATACATACCTTTAATATTAACGTTAAAACCTGAAAATAAATTAAAAATGATTCATCCTTAATTCTGAAACTTCTAAATTTCAGTAACAGACCACTACATTTCAAATATCACTTCACCTTCCTGTCCTATACCTAACAAGTACATGGAACATATCTCATAATAAAGCATAATATCAATACAATATTTTGTCACTAGACCTAGGGCTTGAACCTGTGTCTTCTCTTATCCATCTAAGTGCCATATTCCCAAATATGGCTCCCACATCTTCAATCTAGTGCCCTAAAACTGCTGGCACTCTCATGAACATGGGAGAGAGAAACTATAATAGTTCCCAGGAAAAATAATATCAATTACAATTTTCATGCCTGAAGAATGATACCAATGTTGCAGTTAGCATCTAGAAGACTTGGAATCAGTAGAAAACACACATAACGAAGTCTTCTCAAGCTATCAGTCATGTGGAATTCGTATCCAGTGACCTTCAGGGGTTGATAAGATGTGTAACATGCCTGCACACTGTTTATAACCACATTTCATGCTCTTCCCTGTCCTACCACAGACTGCTGGGAGTACAATGGGTAGAGCAAAGGAGTCGGTCATGATAATCCCTCTTGCTTGACCTCTGGCACCTCTATCAGTACCACGGCTTGTAATGACTGAATGCTGAACTCTAGCGACTGTAACCCAAGCAGTATGCATGACTTCAGTCACTGTTCCCTCTGGGTGCGCAATGGGACACCCTTCAGTATGCTCTGATTAATACATGTCACACAAAATAAAATTAATTTCTTTACTGTGTTGTGTTGCATTACAAAAATAATGCTGTTCCATCTACACCATCTTAATACTGATACCTAAATATTAGGTATATTTTGTGTAGAATTTAATTATGAACAGAATCAACCTCACATCTTACAGAATCAATTGACACTTTAAAATTCTGTATTCTTCTGAAGTCCGATTTACACATTAATTTATAATGAAATTATTAAATGAAGTTTGTTTTGATTTATGTTCTAAAGTCTTCACATCAAAATTTTCTTAATTAACAATCAAGTTCCTTCTGTCAAATGTGACATTTGACGGAAGGAACTTGATTGTTAATTGGTTAGTGTGACGGACCAGAATGAAAGACCTTAAAAATTTTCTTCATTGTTCAGTGTGGCCCCACCCATTAGTTATAGTTCAAGAATTCTTAACTGTGTGCATGGCTATGAACGTGTTGAACCTTCCTGTATTAAGAGGAACAGTCCAACTCTCAACTCTTGACAAATTCCTACTCACTCTAGTACTTTCTGCTTGTCAAGGGTAATTTGTGAATAAGGGATTGAGTTTGTCATATAAGATGTATGAACTCATGTTACAGACTGCATAACTCATCATCAGCCAAAGTTTGATACTTTCTGTTTTCAGTTAATTTACAGCATAGAAAATGTTGCACAATTGTGTTTATGTTATGTCAAATTACAGGACATTCTCATCTGTCTGCACTGAAATACTGTCACCCAAACATTGGAGTTTTCTATCCCCACTTCTGTGTGAGAATGAGATAATGCACTTTTCTTATTCTTCGCATTGTGTTGCACTGTCTCGACATACTTCCATAGGCTTACTTTAGTTGCAAGTTCGAGATTTCAGAATGTTCTATGACACGTTTGAACTGTATATGAATCTTGAAATTCAAACACACTTTTGTGAATATTGGTGTTATGGACACAGTGCACTCCAATATTCAAGTGACAACATCTGAAACTTTGGGAATTGAATCTAATCCCACTTTCTGTCTTACTATTAACGCTTCTTTTATGTTACTTTATTTTGTTTTTGTATCCCTAATTATGTTCAGATATAGGACTCTCCACATACTAAGCTAGTATGCTTACCATTAGCGCACTGAGATGATATAATAATGGTTATTAATAACACGTCCCCATAAGACAAAACAGAATCAATGCCTGAAACATATTAATATCATACCTTGGATAACATCCATCATACTTTATAACAAATCAGACATTATGACAAATTTAGAGAATTATAATAAATACATCTCAGTTCCCAGAAATGCATTTGGTAATTGGTAATCCTATTAACATTTAATACTTGTCAAAAAGATGTCTGTATATCTTCTCATTTACAGTATTGCATTTGCCTTGAAAGAAGAATATATATAATTTCTGATACAGGAAAACAGTACAGTCATACTTGTCTCTTGGATTTGGCATCAAAACTCTTTTGAAAATAAAACTCTTTAGCACTAAAAGTATACACTAATGGCCTTCAACACATTCACTACCAATCCCATCATCTGACAATCTCAAGTTCATTTGTGGGCAGTTGCCACTGTCTACATAAACGCTATTTCTCTCCTACAGATATCACTCAAATGCAGAGAAACTTTAAATATACCTCTGTCAAAGCTTAGAGTCAAAACATATAGCAATTTTTTACTGTTTTCTACTTGTTCTCTTCCATTTCTGTTTAGAATGTTCTGTGGAAAAACGGCCAGTCCAGCAGATGGACTCACAGTATGGGGATATGGAGGTCAATGTGTTAATAAAGGTCTAGGACACTTTTAGTGTTATCACAAATAAGTGAGAATGCAGTGACAGTTTCCATACAAAAAGAGACAACTGGGACAGAGTTCTACAGCAATACTTATCTAAATACCAAACTTCAGTAACCTGTATACTATTTCTTTCAAAAATTGTATATTTACAATGTGTTCATGTACACACACATGCGTGCATATGAGTATGTTCAGCTGCAGAACTATCACATATATGCAGACTTACGTACTAGTAACTGAACATGAGAATGCGCACACTACCCCACAAACAGAAGCACTATTATTGTGCTGCATACACATACACACACACACACACAGGCGCTCTGTAATCAGGCACAAAGACACCAATATTTGGTCCAAACTTAACGAGATACATTACCTACATATTTCTCTGTACTCAAGAAACCACTACCCAAAGAAAGGTTTAAGAGTGACCCAAAAAAGCACCTATTTTATTTAAGGCCTTGAAGGGCCATATTAAGGACACATAATTTTTCTTAGAACATGTTTCCAATATTATTTGTAGAAATGTATGAATTTTAAGTCCTTAACCATACTGTTCTTCATGATCTGCCAATCAAGTGATGACAGATATTTTATATAACATATACTTTTTTGTCCTCAATGATTTGATGTCTGGATCAACTTGTTTTTGACATCAGTCTCCATATTATGGCACAAGAACACAAATACACAAGAAGGAACACTAACCACACATTGTATTATGGTTTCATATGTGTAAACAGAATACTCAAGGTCATGGGAAAACATCACTGAACCTATTTCAGTTTTCATTTATCTGCATGTTACGAGATCTTGTGCCAAATACTCTACCGCAACGGAAGCTGAACAGCGTCACTGTTCCATCTCTGGTATTGTTTCATCACCACAGCTGCAACACTAGTCAGTCTGCTCTTAGCCATAGAGCTTCTTTTCAGGTTATTTAATGACATTTTTCCAATATCTACCTTAAGGGACTGAGGAAAATGATGAAGAACCTCAACCAGAACAGCCAGTGTACCAGCTGAGATTCAAAACAAGCACCTCCCAAATACAAGTCTTAAAGAGAGTTACCTCTACAGCAACCTGTTAACATTGCTTAGCAGTGATAATATTTGGGAAGTCCTTTTCCCTGTTCTGTGCTGATGTAGCAGCATTGCTCTGACCGCCTTTACCATGTGTGACATTCACTGCGCATGGTTCGCACTTTCAGCTCCAGAGAAGCTCGGCAGAATTTCCGCACATAATACATGAAAATGATATTACTAATTCAGGACTAGAGACAGGCTCAGTATGTGGTTACGTTCCCGTCCGTTAGAAAACAGCAAAGCTGCCTATCAGAATACAACTTTTATATGAGCACTGTGTGGAATATCTTTACAATCATAAATAGCTTGTCACTTAAATGCCCCCTGCCCATCATTTAAACTTTTTCTGGCAAATACCAAGTCTCGATTGCGTTCTTAACGTTATTCAATAAGTAATATATTATTTGTAGACTTTCTGAACCAGATGTTTCATTATTATGTACATTATTTCGGTACAGTGAACAATATGAGAAATTTACATGAAATGCACATTACATGTAACATAGCAGTTACGTGAAAGGCACAACTTGTCATGGTATATCTTCACTGGACAGTACATGACCATTCTTTGTAAAGCACTCCACAAAGTTTCATGACTGCCATCACAGACTTCCGCCATCATACAATATCCAGCACCCTGCTTCACATTTTTACAACCTACTTCTCTATGATTTATTATTGCACAATCAAAGCCATAGGAGACACTGTTTGAAAAATTAATATATCGAATTTCTGATTCACCATTCCCTTTGGCCCAGCTGGGCTCCTTTCCTTACCCCCTCCCTTGGGTTTCAGTGACCAACTTCCTGGCACCTCACTATATCTCAACCTACATAACTGCACACCGTCATAACCCAGAGGAACCAAAACGTGAACAATCAGACACTAAAACCTCAAAACTTACACAGCTGAAACTGTATCATACTCTCCAATTCTCAGAAAGCTGGAGGACTCATTCCTAATTATCCACTTACGCTCCAACAGTACTTAAAAGAGTTGATTCTAAAGGGTTCTGACGATGGTGGATGACGCACAGAATTACTGGGGTCTTGGACTTTTCCCATTGTCTGGAATTCTAGGTAATAGAGGATATGACGTTTCAGAAACTTCATCTGTTTCCGTCTTCAGGTGACAAAGGAAGACAGAAACAAATCCAGTTTCCAAAACGTGTTCTCTATTACCGAGAATTCCGGACATTGGAAAAAGTCCAAAAACCCTGTAATTCTGAGTATTTAAAAGAATTAACAACTGAATTATAAGTTTGTCATTAATGTTACAATGTTGTATTCTTTATCTTTCATTACCTATAACTAGACTTGGAACTGACAATTAATTCCACATTTATTGTAAGATGTATGACTTATAATGTATTCAACAGGCTTTCCTACTATGTATTTGTAGCATGCAAAATAAATTTGAAACAGTGTGTGCAATGTTTTTTGATTCAGACTATGCTGATGGTACAGGTCGTTTCTTTCAACCTGACCTCTGTGTTGCACATGAGGAGAAAAGCAGTGGTTGCAGCTGCAGTGTGGGAGAAAGTGATACACTGTGACCACGGCCCTAACTAACACACTACACACCCTCCAATCCTAATCTCAATTAGCTGACTTGATCACACCCACTGTACATTCTGCTAACGGCCAGGTCTAAAAACATGGATGGTACTTATAAATCATTCCTCTCAGTAATACAGATTCTAGTTACTAGATGGGAGAAGCATCTGGGTACCATTCTCTCTTTGTATCTCTTATAAAATAATAATAAGAGCAAACTGTCCTAATATTTTGTACATGACGGATTATACTGCCCTTCTGTGTATGCTCACAATGCTGGCTGTTATGTGATTCCCACTTCCTATACTATTTACAACTTCATCCTTTTAATTAAGAAATGTAAGTATTAATTTGTCCTCTGTTTACATATCTCCCCCCCCCCACTAAACACTACACAGAGCTGTGACAGACGGGGCCATAACAATGTTGATCTGGCATGTCACTCTCTAATGCATTCATACAAGTAAAATCATGACACTGATCAGAATGTATCACAGATTGAAATAACAATAACTGAAGAGTGGTGACTCTGTATAGTCTGGTAGAAGTTTACTGACATTTCAGAAGGAGATACTGAGTGAGCCAAGCAAGGAAAGCAGTGCCAACAAAACTGCAAAGATATAGGATGAAGAACAAGTTCTAATCATCCCAGGAGACAGATGGGAGAATAGATCATAGGCCTGGAGAAGAACAGGGACAGCAGGCAGAGATTGAAACGGGAAGCAGACAGAGAGGTGTGGTGAAGGTAGGACGACACAGGACCACCCGAGCCTCTACACATGGTGCAGAGGAGGATGGAGAGTGTGTAGGCCCTACAAGGCAGACAACTGCCCTGCAAACGACAACGTGCACCGGGCCCAATGCCCTGGTCTGAGAACCCCACATGACACATTCCAAGGAGGCTTCCTATGTTCTTTCAGGAGTAGATGAGAGGTTAACCATGAGGAAGGCAAGTATTTACCAGACCACAAGGTGTCAATCCCAGAAAACAGAAATGATCATAGTAACTGTCACAGAAAAATTCAGATCTCACAAAATATCAAGTACTGCACAATGGTAAAAAAAGATATGCCTAAATCAATGAATTCATTTGGGGCACAGCATCTGTTACATCTATACACATATTAAATCCTTTCTCAGACTCTTACAAATGAGTATAATTGTTGTTGGAAAGACTGCTGTGACATTTATCATTTAAAGTCTTTAAGTATCTAGCAACTTCAAACTAAATCAGCAGTTCTGCCAACTTCATTACCACAGGCGACCATAATGGCAGACTGTACTAATATGGATGTGGCAAAATTTGTGAAACACACTGTACTCCATGTTTATAGCATGCAGATCAAAACTTCTGCCCTTTCGCTGGAACACTAAGGTACTGTAATGTCCATCCATTTTATTGCACTGTGTTAGAAATAATTAATTTCAAAATGTAATTTGTAGTGAAATCTCTGCAAGTCGGCCACCTGGTGGCCAGAGCAACACTCTTCTACCTTATATTTTGTTCACCTTACTGCATTTCATGCCATGTTGGGAACAAATACATGATTGATTTTTGCCCTACTCTGTACAAATGAAACTATCTCAATCCTGTCCCTTTTATGTACCTGTTATGATCAGCAGTTAACAGTTCACTGAATGATGAATTCTCTTGTTATTCAATTTACCATTAGACCTACTGTGTTTTTCACTTCTTATTGTTGATTACAATTCATGACAGAAAAACATCTTTCACGTTTATTTCATATCCACTAATTTGATTTCAGCATGCAGTCGGCCCATGTATGAGGGGCTCAGACACAAAAAAGAGACAGCCATAGAGTTTATAACTGTGGCAAAAGTAAAAAACTTAAGAGTTAACAATGAGTCACTAAAATGAGAAACTGTAACACTACTTGCATGTAAATTGGCCAGATCTGACTGGAACCACGAGTGACCAACATAGACAGACTTCACAGTAACTCCACCTACAGTTCTTTCAACATCACCTTACCCTTTTTCCAATGTTTTGGCTACTTCTTCCAACAGAAACATAACCTGCTGGCTTACAGAGATGCTGAATTGTCAATGTATGTATGCACCTTAAATTCTTTTGTACAACACAAAGAAACGAAAAGAGGTGAGAAAACAAGCTATATTCTGTAACAAATAAGAAAGAACAAGGGTTCCTGTTAGAATAAATACAATTTGACGAGACGAGTATTATCTTCTGGGAGGTGACGCCATGTAATCTGGTAACGTTTACCGACATTTTGGAAGAATATGCTACCTCCATCTTCAGTATCATTGAGTATGCCAGAAGATGGAGGTACTGTTTTCCTTGAAAATATCAGTAAACAGACTACGTAGCATCACATCCCATATCATAGTCACCACTGTGGGAGTCTTACACCTCACAACTTAACATGTTTGCCCTTTGAATTTCTACAGGAAGGAGAAGTAACCACAGTCAAATCTTTTCAAAAGTAAATACTCAAGTATTAATAATGGTTAACAAAAGTAATATGATGATGAGTTATGTATTTCACTGCAATGGTTTTCATGAATAGACCTGCATGTTCTCTCAACTGCTGACAATATGCAACCCAAACATATTTCTCCCAGTTTGGACCCTCGTAGTCAGCGACTTAAAAACCTAGTTTCTTCATACATTATTGCTGAATTCTTTCTGCTCAGAACTGAAAAGATCTTTCACAGGAGCCAAAAGTTTTTCAAGAAATGTTCGAACAACTGACATAAAAATATTAGTATCTTCATTGTCCCATCCTGGACACATTATTTGTTCACAAGTTTGAACACCACTAAGTATAAACAAATGAAATTTTATTTTTCATTGCTTTGTTAACTGGCTCAATATTTATAAAGAACAGACCAGTCTAGACAATTACTGAATCTTGTTCTTCAGTTGTAAAACCAAGAAACAAAATCACATCTCTCACTACAACACAACTGTGACACAGAATTTGCTAATAAGTATAATACACATATAAATAAAAATGAAACTTGGGAAAGATTTGGCAGGTATGATTAAGTATACAATCATTCAGAAAATAGTCATGTAACACTCTTTTAAGATTCTAGACAGTATGTCAACTATCTGGAAGTAATATCATGTAATTTTATTATTAATATCCTTTTTGAAAAAAAAAATAAAGGTACGACATGTATGTTGCTTGACCTCTGAACAACTAAAAAATTTGAAACACATTGTGAGGTTATTCAAGTCAACATGGAATGAGAGCATTAATTAATATGGAATGGAAGATTTTAGAAGAAGAGACTAAATGTTGTTATGAAGTCTGTTAAGTAAACTCCTCTTACTTTCAAACAAGCATTCACACACACAAACACACGTTACATTGTGAGTAACATTAATTAGTGCACAGTAACAAATAAATTCAATTCACAAAACCCATTCAAAGTCAAGGCTTCCTTCCAGTAGAAGAAATTCTGCAAAATTTCACTGCCCTATATGTAGGCCTGTGGGAACAAAATGTCTGGACCTCCTGGATTACAAATTTGGCTAAGGTCATAGCATGGAATAGGCCAGTTTGCATGTATTCCATTGCACCAACGCAAACTACCACCAATGCACACTGCTCATGATTCCTATTTCAAGTCTATTTCTGGAGTATCAATGTGGAAGGGTCTGATAAGCTGTCCGTGTTCAACAATTGGGGTCTGATCTTCCTGAGTGTCAATGCGAATCCGGATTTTGTTCCGATCTGGAAGCAGATGAGGCAGAGATCGGGGAACATCACCATTCTGGGGAGACGGAGTTGGAGTAGGAGATGACGATGCGTATGGAACATATATCCTTACGATGTCTGGACTCGGAGCATGAGGGGTGGCACGTGGAGTTGAGTGAGCTGATGGACCTCGCTGTATGCTGCCGGGATGGCCTACACCGGAGCCACCAGAACTGGCCCCACCTGCGCTTCCATCCGATGCGTTACTGTGAGTGTCCAAGCTATTGTCAAGAGCTTGTGAGCGAGTTGCTGTGGAGAACACGGAGAGATCCGCAGTGGAAGTGATGCTGGTGTCCGCTAAAGACCTTCTTGAACTGCTGTGATGACAGTCCAACAGTGAACTTGCATCATCTATACTTGGGTCAAATGAGAATTTGGATCCTGAAAATAGGCAAATATACACTTCAAAGCTGCTTCTTCACAAGCATTTGTGTGACATCACTTTTTGCGGTGAATCTTAGGGAACTGCTGGTTTATATGGGGCTGTTTCCACACAGCTACCCGGCTGATCAATGATTTACTATGATGCGACATAAACATGTGACATGGTTTACATATGTAGAACATTTACTGAATCACCACATCACCTAGAGTTTCATTACACAAAGGAACCTATTACTATTGGCATTAAATGTGTCAAACCTGTATGCATGATTGAAGAAAGGAGGAATTCTGATATGTATCCAGAAATACTTTTAGTAGTCAACTACAGTATACCCTCACATTACAGAAATTCCAGTTACAAAATTTCACACTTACAGATATTATAACATATGACCATAAGATTCACAATAGAGGCCATAAATTTGCATTTATGGAAATTTGGGACATATATCACAATTTTTAAGCACAAAATGCAAAGCAACAATAATTCAACCAAAACTACCTTTTTTAGACTACTTTCCTTATCTTGAAATGAATAAAAGTAGTCTTACGAGATCGCCATGCTGTCTGTACGTCTGTGAATCCCTACCTATCAACTTTTGATTGCCTCAACTAATCTATACGAAACTTGGTATGTATAACACAGCAACTGAGCCCATCTCAAGGCCATACTTCATAAATCCCTCCCATCAGTCTGTGCATCTGTATATGTATCTCTCCTATTGTTGCTAGGTGAAAACCTAGTAGAGACGTTCCCACAGCAGCGGAGAACTGTTGGAGGCGTTGTTTTCTATGTGGTCCATGTCATATCTCAGGAAAGTAAGCAACCGGTTCTTCCCAGAACTCCCTGCTTATAAATTATTATTTGTCTGTGATCACATATGCATCTGTGAGATAGGGTAATGGCTGATACTGTGGTTGCTACTCCCAGCTTAGTTTAGACTGTTTTGTGTTTTCTGCTCATTTAAGACATCTGTGTACCTGCTACTGTTTCTCATTATTAAAAGAATGTGTTTTTATTGCAACTGCAGACCAAAAATATTTTCATAGGGACACATCTCTTTTTATAACATAGGTAAAAAAAATCTGTCCCTTTGCTTAACTAATTAAGCACTAGACCATGAAGGTGCATGGGGGAGTGGGTGCATAGATCCACATTTTCTTGACCTTGGCACTAGCTGGAGGCATGTGGTCAGCTTCATGCACCGGCCGCCTTACCCCCAGTATCCATTGGCTAGGAGGTTGGGTGGACCCCAGAGCTGGTCTGGACGTAGAGAAAATTCCTGACCTTACTGGGACTCCAACCTCTTGGTCATCCAGCCCGTAGCTAGTTGCCATACCAACTACGCTATCCTGGCTCACACTTCAGTGGTACATATACTAATTTTAAGACATAGGAGTGAATGGAAATATGGGGTTATGTTACAGAAGTTCACGACACAGACACTGTTTCAAGAATACATCCCTTTCATAACATGGATGCATGCTGTACNCAACCTCTTGGTCATCCAGCCCGTAGCTAGTTGCCATACCAACTACGCTATCCTGGCTCACACTTCAGTGGTACATATACTAATTTTAAGACATAGGAGTGAATGGAAATATGGGGTTATGTTACAGATTTTGACAAGAGTGTGAACAATAAACACAACTGACGAGTCAAAATAGTGGCAATGATTCATAATAGACTTTCCGAGTTATGTTAAAATTGACAACAACAATAAACAAACTCCGTGGTTTTAGTCTGCAAGCAAACTATACCGATCGATCGACCGCCGCTTGTCAGCGACGTTAGTGCCGACTTTAGTGGACAGAGGGTGTCACATGGTCAGAGCAACAACTTCCCACGGCCGTTAACTTCGGTTTTCTAGACCGGAGCCGCTATTTCCTTGAAATAGCTCCTTAATTATCATCACGAGGCTGAGTGGACCCTGTTCCAGACAGACTACTTCCCAGAAAAAATCTCGTAGAACCGGGAATCGAACCCAGACCTCTGGATCTGTAGCCAGGAACTCTGACCACTAGACCACAGAGGCGGTCCATGTTAAAATTGACTGTTACTTAATTTAATTTATTTTGGGAGAGGGTATGAGCATGGGTGAAAATCAAATTATAAATGCTTATGAGTGCCCACTGCAGTTACATTCAATGAGAGTAACTATGAGGGTAAGTCAGTAAGTTACAAATGGATATAGAACTTAAACAAATAAGAGTACTGATGTGAAAAATGCTTTTATTTCTCAACATAATCTCCCTGTACACTGAGGCACTTGTCCCATCGTTTCACAGGCCTCTGAAAACCAGCAGCATAAAATTCTTTGGGCTGCTGTTGGAACCAGGCGGTGACTTCCCTTTCTACAGCTTCATTGTCGGGATAATGTTCAGCCGAAAGATGATGTTTAAGAGGGCCGAACAAATGGAAGTCGCTTGGAGCAAGGTCGGGGCTATACGCAGGATGCTCAAGGACTTCCCACTTGAAATTTTGCAGTGTCTCATTTGTCTTGTTGGCAGTATGGGGACGTGCGTTGTCATGCCTTTGGTGAGGAGTCCTTTTCGCTTCCAGTGAATGACCTTACAAAGTTTCCTGAGGATGTTAGAGTAGGAGTCGGCATTTATGTAAATACCGACTCCTGCTGTAACATCCTCAGGATGTAAATGTTCCCTGTAAAGGGAAGTCAATGCCTGGTTCCGACAGCAGCCCAAAGAATTTTATGCTGCTGGTTTTTAGGCGCTTGGGAAACGATGGGACAACTGCCTCAATGTACAGGGAGATTACGTTGAGAAATAAAAGCATTTTTCAAATCAGTACTCTTATTTGTGCAAGATTTGAGGTTTTCACTACAGTGACTATGAAGAAAGCAGTCTTCTGGGATGTGGTACCATGTAGATGTGGTGTTAACCGACGTTTCGGAGGAACATATCGCCTCCATCTTCAGGGTAGAAGGAAAAATAAGAAATCTGCAAGCGAAGAGACCGTAAGAACCGGTACAAGCTTGCGGATTTCTTATTTTTCCTTCTACCCTGAAGATGGAGGCGATATGTTCCTCCGAAACGTCGGTTAACACCACATCTACACGGTGCCACATCCCAGAAGACTGCTTTCTTCTCAGTACTCTTATATGTTTAAGTTCTATATCCATTTGTAACTTACTTATTGACTTACCTACGTATAAATAAAAAATATGCAAATTATGGAAATTCTTACTAAGAATAATTCAAGAGTGGACTCCAGACGCAGAGCGTACCACTGAGTGTCAGAACTTCAATGAGCAAATCACATTTTTTTGGGGGGGAATAATTCAAATTATGCACTGACTGCTCACACAGATGAGGGTATGAATTACGTAAATTAAATTCTGAATTTCATTTGGTCTTTAACATTATGAAAGACACACCATAAACATCTGCTAATGATTATGGCCTTACAGGCTGTAATGCAATTTAATCTGACAGGAAAGTATCAGTGTTTCAAAGGAGACTCCTGCCTTCAGTTCCACAGCAGAATAACTGACTATATGATATCACATTTTACATGCACTGTACAACCCCAAACCTGAGGTACTTACAATTACAGTTTCCGGAATGCGACATCATGTAGTCCAGTACACAGGTACCAGCAAATAAGAAGACGCTGTTCCCCCAACAACCAGGATAGAACAAACAGAACTACACAGTGTCATATCACAGAAGACTTTAATCTTAATATTCACTGCCATGAGAAACTCAAATCTCGCACACTAATGCATCGTTAGTGCAGAAGCTCTAAGGGAGAGGGAAAAACATTCACATCAAACACAGCAAACATTTTAATTTCTAAAATTAAGTAGAAAATTAAAAAAAAAAAATACTTATTGCATCCAAGAAATAAAACAGGGAAACAACAGACTAACTTATACAGCTAACTACAGTGTCTTAGCCATTCACGTTACAAATTTGATCTAAGATTGCAATGGCTACTTGAAGTTTGTTCTCACCCTTCTGTGTGTTACATGTGCCATAATCCTTCTCAGCATGTAAGTTAGTTGTATCTGCGAAAATACAAACACATGACACTAAGAATGAGGCATGCTGTAGCGAAACAGAATTAAAATATTTCAGAAGATAAACATGGGGTAACAGGTTGGAGCCGAGGTTCTCACAGCAGCGACTATGAAGATCGCTGTCTTATAGAATGTGACACTACAGTCTGATATATCGTTACAAACATTTCTTCTAGTCTCAAGACAGACACAGCAAATTCCTACAAAATGTTGGTACCCTTCTACAAAACTACATGATGTCACATCCCAACAGGCGGTAACTTTTCTTACGACCTCCTTTAAGCAACATTCTCCACAGACTTGCAATACCATTTAAACTCCTAAAGGGTTAAAAAAACCTGCAAAAGGTTCAGACAGACATGAAGTAGCGCTTTGGCCTTTCACTCTGTCCAGGAGTGAGGTTTATCATTAGTACAGTTTATGAATGTGACCCAATAGCACAAATTCAAGGAACCTAAGAAAGGCTTGGCTAGGTCAGCATTCCTGATCCACGATTTCATTTGCTTACATGTGCAAACTACTGCCAACAATTCCCATCTCCACTTTAAACCACAGAATATATCCTGCTGCACTCATTCAATCTCTACTGTCCCTTGACAGAAACGTTTCTCAAACAGCGAAATCCATGTCCACTGTAAGGCTCCTGTTCCATCAGTGTTTGTGGCACATCTTACTGAATCACTACGCAGTCATGTGACTGTGTGGGGAAAGAGCTCTATTCAAATCTATGTATCATTAAGACTCGCCACAGACACTCACAGAAAAGGGGCCTATTACAGGCTGCAGAACAAGAAATGTTTGTTATTTCACAACATTGTGAGAGTTTAAAATGAGAAACATGTCGAGTGTGCCACGTTACTTTTCATATGATGCATATCCATGCTTCTCAAAGAAGAGCAAAGGTACAACAGATTCTAGCATGGGGGGGGCTCAAGTTAGGTTAAGAATCAAGATACTGAGTTATGGCCGCAGCATAGCTCAAGCGGTTAGTCACTTGCTTCCCACTGCGGCGGCGCAGGTTCAATCCCGGGTCTTGTCAAGTGGGATTTGTGGTGGACAAAGTGGCGTTGGGCAGGTTTTCTCCAAGTACTTCAGTTTCCCCTGCCAATCTTCATTCCACCAACTGCTCCACAATCACCCTCACCTATCATCTGGGGCTGGTACAATGGGCCAGAAGTGGCCGCAGTACAAGGGACTTAGTCCAACCCCACTAGCATTAAAAAAAAAAAAAAAGATAATGAGATTACACAAGACCCTTATTCATATGTTGAACTGGTCCAGAACTTCATTGCAAATTTCAGTCTGGTGCCTGTGTCCCTTCTGCAATGCCACTCCTGCATGGAGGGTGATCCCTCTATGGACGGCAGCCAATTTCTTCTGGGACCCGCCCTCGCCCTGGGCCCATTCCGTCAGCTTTCTGTGTCACCCTACAGCTAGATGCCAATTCCCATTCCACTGCTTCAGTGCTCCAAAAGATTTCACAGCGGCCTCTTCCTTCGGGACTTCCTCATGCCCTGCGATCGACTACATTTCCGCTGGATTTACCTCCGTGATTTCCGGATAGACCTCCATCATGTCTTGGCTGACATTGCTCAGGGCTACGATCCTTTCATGACTGCCTTTCACAGTGTCAATCAACTCCTCAGGGTTAGCTTGTCTTGGCAAGGTGGGCATCAATCCGTGAGACAAAAGTACCTGGTAGGACCTCAGACTCCTCACTATGAGAGTCTATCTTGGCACTGATCTTGGCTTCTGGCCTTGTTGTTATTTCCTCATGACTGGCTTTCATTTCGGCCATCACTTCTTCTTGGATGGTTTACAGCTCGGCTTTCATTCTGGCCATCATCTGCTCTTGGCCAGACAACAGGTGCTCCAGTATTTGCTCCGTCACTTGTATCAGTTTTGTAATGTGACGATTCAACTATCTACTGCAATCCTCAATCCACTAACTGATCAATCCAATTCCACTTCTGACATCAGTTGTCACATGTATGAGTGATTAAAGACAAGATTTAGATTGGTAAATATATTTATTGAACATTTACAGGTCATAACTACAAACAATATTGACACAATAACACTATTGATGATTTCCACACTAGGTCTTCTCCGTCTGCTTTCGGAAGTCTTTACTTGGTAACAGCTCCCATCGGCAGCTACTCCTCTGCAATGCTTTCACTAGACGTTTCCTGGTAACAACTCATCAGCTTCCATTGCCCACCAGTTAACACTCCACAACTGCACTGCACTCACTCACTGAACTGAACTATGTCAGTCCAGTCACACAGCCTTGGAGTGAATCCACAGAGAACACTGCTTGCAACACCTCTTCTACTGTTGTGTCATGGCACAGTGTATGTAACATATTCCTCTGCTGCATGTGTGCAAGCCATTACCTAGCAATGGCTAGCCATTACCTAGCAAATATGCCACAATGTGTTATTCAAATGATTATTATATATTAATTTCATATCATGAGATAAAACAGTAAATGATGTTACATGGGCTAAATTGGCTTCAGTGGCAGGTTTCCATGGTAACGGCGCTAAACAAGACACAGGAATTAATTGGGTGACGAATAAACTATGAACCATTTATAGAATCCATACCTGATGAAGGAAGCTGCGATACATCTGAATGAACTGAACTTGAATAAACAGAACTGACATGATGCAATACTGATGGAAACAAATAATTATTAAAAGCTATCATTAATGTATTCTGTCTCATTCTTGATAACATCAACAGTGTACTAAGTAAGTAAAAGTAAAGGTATCCCCGTAACAGGCCATGGAGGCCCATAGGGTTGTGAGATGTCGAGGCTCCCTCATTTTCTAGACAGCTCACAGATGACGGTGAGGTCAGCCTTACGTGCGCCGGCCGCCCTTTAACCACAGGAAGATTCCTGGTGCTCATTTCTGTTAGAGACTGAGTCGACCCCACGGCCATAGTGCGGCTGGAAGGGTTAGGTCAATTTAAAAAAATCCACCTCATCAGGTTTCAATCCCATGACTTTCTGGCTTGCAGCATGGTACCTCAACCAACTACACTACCGCGTGCCCCTCACTGTACTTGATAACAGAGAATTCTAGATGCATATACAAATGCAGTACCAAAACTTCTGTGAACAAGTTATACAAAACGGTCATAATAATTTCGGCTCAAGGAAACAAACAGTTGCACTTCTTTAGCTATTTATCTGGAAAGAATGTATAGCTTCTCAACAATAACCGTCTTAACCTTTTCCTGCCCTTTATGTTTCCAACACCAGTTCCCACCAGCTACATATTAATCTGTACAAAAATTAAGAAAAAAGAAACTTTGGTATGAAAAGTATAAAACTCCTGCCATCTGTTGTTTCTCCTTGCAAACTACTAGAAGAGCTGTTAAAGAATGTCAACAGCAAAGATATGTCAGTATACAACAGTCCACCTGGATATGAAAAGAACCACGTCAGAAGTTTTCCAGCAGATGACAGAAAAGGGTTAAAACCATTAAACCCCAGTCATATTGGGCAAAATCTGGCTGGGTACAATTATGAATTTTTAGAGATGTTGAGACACTAACAAGGTTTTGTAGTTAGAAAAATATTTAAAATAAAAAAGAACCCCCAATACAAATCCCTTCATGTAATCACATTGTGTTTTATGTTTACTGCGTGTATAGGCTACGTATCACATGGTATAATTCCGTGGATACCCCTTCACTCGGTTATAGCGGACATCTGCGATAATGGAAGCCATGTTGATCTTGTCAGTCCATCATAACAAAGGTTAATTGTGACTATAAACATCAGATCCAATGCCATTCAGAAAAATCTCACTTGGATAAAAGAAACTGAAGTTAAGTTTCCACAATAAACTCACCTCCTTCAACGGATATCCTGGAGTCCCTCTGGTGGCCATTGCTGCCTGCAGTTGGGGCTGACGGTTCTGTGATGGCAGCATCCCTCCTCAGAACCACACTTTCTCTTGTGGCCCTCTCAGCATCACTAAACTCACTTGTACGTCGACCTACTTTACGCTCAAATGTTGGCTCGGTAAAAAGTCCAAATGGATGTCGTGGCAACTCATGCTGTGGAGGCGGACCCGGATAATCCAATTTTGCACGTTTCAATTCCTCAAGTGCTTTTTCTAAGTTCATAATTGCAGTGTCATCATCAAATCCAAAGTCATGTTCCAAACGCACCTGCAGTAACCGCAACATAAGGTTATAAATATGCCATGATGTAACTCAGAAAACGGTTTCACTGGAAGAGTTATGTTACCTGTAAATACTGAAGAATTTCATCCATACCGAGACGTGAAAGGGTGCGGCGATGCATCTTGAGCAAATTGTAAGCCATCCCTGTGAGTATCCGCTCCCCCTCCAATAAATACACGTCCCACACGCGGAGAGTTAACGTAAAGGGAATCTGAAAATATAAGAATTACAAATTACTGTACTTGCTTCAAAAAAGCACATGCATAGGATCAATTAACTGGATCAGCCAAGTATCTCTGTTAAATCTGTATTAATTGGGCTACGGACTGGACGACCAAAGAATGCAGTTTTATTACTGGTGGGGGCAGCAACTCCCCTCCACCAGATTGTCCAGACAGGCTCTGGAGCGCAGCCATTCTCCTGTCCAATGGGTACAAGGGGCTCCATTCCCAGCAACTGGCTCTGGAGCGCAGCCATTCTCCTGTCCAATGGGTACAAGAGGCTCTATTCACAGCGACTGGCTCTGGAGCGCAGCCATTCTCCTGTCCAATGGGTACAAGAGGCTCTATTCACAGCGACTGGCTCTGGAGCGCAGCCATTCTCCTGTCCAATGGGTACAATGGGCTCTATTCACAGCGACTGGCTCTGGAGCGCAGCCATTCTCCTGTCCAACGGGTACAAGAGGCTCTATTCCCAGCGACTAAGTTGCTAAGGTGTAAAGCTCCCCATTGACCTCATCCTAGTGCCAAAGTTTAGAATATGTGGAGCTATACTTATGTTCCCCAAGTTTTCATGGCATGGTACTTTTTTTTATTGCTAGTTGGGTGGGACTAAGTCCCTTGTAGTGCAGCCACTTCTGGCCTATTGTACCAGCCCCAGATGATAGGTGAGGGTGATTGTGGAGCACTTGGTGGAATGAAGATTGGCAGAGGAAACAGAAGTACTCGGAGAAAACCTGCCCCAGAGCCACTTTGTCCACCACAAATCCCACTTGACCAGACCCGGGATCGAACCTGGGCCACCGTGGTGGGAAGCCAGCAACTAACCGCTTGAGTTATGGCATGGTCCTGGCATGGTACTTAATTAATTAAAACAAGGGATAACTTTACCTTTAACCTACAGAAGTTCCATGTCAGATAGGAGCAAACACAGCAACCCAAACCACAATTAGGCTGCAAAGGTTTAGATTAAAGCAGAAAGTATTTCAATATTGCCTCATTCTGAATCAAGTCTTTTGCACTGTGATAGCATGTAGCCTTGTCTTGAAGGTGAATATGAGTGTTTTGCAGAAACACTGCTTTCATCTTCAGAGACAAAAGGCGGAGACAACAGTTACCCACCTTCAAGGAAGACCATAATCTGAACAACCACAGCCATGAAAACCTTAAAATTCATACTCAGAATTACTGGGTTTTTGGATTTTGTCCATCATCCAGAATGCTAAAAGCTAGAGAACATGACATTTTGGGCACTGGATCTGTTTCCATCCTCAGGTAAAGGGGGGACACACTCTGCTAGTGGGGGTGGAGTCCAGCTGGGTTCACTCGACATGGCGGCCACTGATTGGCCTATTGTACCTGCCCCAGGTGATTATGATGATGGAGAATTTGGTGGAATGAAGATTGATAGGGGAAATCTAAGTTCTCGGAGAAAACCCTCCCCAGTGCCACTTTGTCCACCACAAATCCCACTTGACCAGACCCAGGATCGAACCCGGGCCGCAGCAGTGGGAAGCCAGAGACTAACTGCTTGAACTATGGCGTGGCCTTGGGGGAGACACTTACTCTGTTAGTTCCCAACTGAGGCTAGCTTTATCTAAGGGACCCAACAGAGTAAATTCCTCCCCCCCCCCACCTAAGGACAGAAACAATGTAGCCATTCTTTTTTGTACTATTAGCTCTGGTAGGGAAATCTGGCCCCTCTCAGGTCGCGTTGACTGGCCGTGACTTGGCTGATTAGGGGGGTCTTGGGCATAGGATGGTCAACACTCAAACACCAAGCAGTTTCAAGTCTTTATTTGAATTGCACTATTCAAGTGATAAATGTGCCGCAGTGATCAACTTAATTGCTTACTGCATTGAGGCTCTGCTACTGATTACTAAGACACTAGTTCGAGAGGAACCACAAAGAAGTGAATATTCAGGTGATCAGAGGTACAGAATATGTGAATCACCAATGAGCATAAATTTGGAGTCCTCCAGTCAAGCACTCTCTGAAGGGTAGACATTTGTCCTGGTTACCCAAAATTCAGGCAAAGGACGTCCCACCTTAGATTTTGATTGGCTGGACTGGGCAAGCTGGAAGACTGCTTAATCTTTCTCCTCCATTTAGAAAAAGAAATACTCAAGCAGCCAGAGTTTAGGGGTGAACTCTGCCACGTGCTGCATGACTGTCAAACTGGAATGTGGGGTAGCACGAGTCCAGAACGCCCCTGCTAAAATTATGACTCCCGCTGTCAAAGTTTAGAATTTCTAAAGCACCCTGTCTCATGTTACGTATTAACTTGACTGATTTAAGGATTTGCAGCAGAGTTCAAGCTTGACCCAAGCCGCCTGCCACGTGTCTCAGAAGGAAATCTCAAACTGTGAGATGAAAGTGAGGACTTTCACATAACCCTGACCATACAAAAAAAAAATTGACCATCCCCTAAATTGGACAGGTACAACAGATCCAGTTGCCAAAATGTTATGTTCTCTAGATCTTAGAATATTGGATGATGGCCAAAGTCCAAAAATCAAATAATTCTGAGTATTACACAGCATCATCAGAACCCTTTAGAATCTACTCAAAATTCATACTTCGGTAAGTTACAAATAAGCATACTCTGTCCAAGAAGCACTGAAAGAACCACTTCAATGTGTAGATTCCTGTGTCTACACCGTTACGGTCCAAATGCTTCTTCAGTTTTGGAAGGAACTTGTTCATAATTTTGTCATGATGTTCTTGATATCGCAGGAGCTTGGGAAAACCAGGGATAAAAAATCCTGAAAAAGAAATTTTAACATCAATAGCTAACAATATTGAGTACATTCATGATGCCAAGGGACTATGAAAGGGTCTCTTTACTTGAAGTGCAGGACCGCTAAAGGGCCAGCCTTAGAAAGGCAAGACACAACAGATCACAGATGGACACAGTGCAAGGGTCAGTCAACACCTGCCCCTTGAAAGTAATTTAATCCAATTTAACAACGAAATGAGAAATAACAGTGAAGTGCAAGATCGCCACTCACCATGCATGCTGTATTTCTTATCAGAGACAAGCACGGAGAGTGCCCAGAAAGCATCTTCTTCATTGAGATACATGAGAAGGAGGGCTGCAATCTGAGACATGCCTTGGCAATAGCCTATGTCTAGATTGTACACACTGTATGCTGCTAGAACATTGAAAAGCGCCTGCTGCTTGAGTCCGTAACGATCACGGAACATGATGTGATCACGGTAAGTTCGGTTCACATCAAGATCTATCTGGCGGATGTCTGGGGACCAACGCCAGGCCAGCTGACACATTTCCTGAACACAATCACACACAAATAACACAATACACTATACACTACAAAACTAGATAAATATCAAAGGATAGTACCGATGAAAGTCTTTCTCTAGTCTAAATAAAGTTGAAAAGTTAAAAACTCTGTGGTTTTAGTCTGCAAGTGAACTATATCGACCAAGCGACCGCCGCTTATCGGCAAAGTTAGTGCCAACTTTAGCGGATAGAGAGTCTCGTGGCCAGCGCAACGAATCCCCATGGCCGTTAATTTCGGTTTTCTAGACCGGAGCAGCTATTTCCTTCATACAGCTCCTCAATTATCCTCACAAGGCTGAGTGGACCCCATTCCAGACCACTACTTCTCAGAAAATAGTACAGGACATATATCTCAGACTCTCTTAATGCGGAACACCAGTTTCTATATTTACTGGCTTGTAGTTGTTTATTGACTATGATGTCATGCTACCACTATAATAACTGTCATACATAATCACTTATCAGAACATCATGTTTTGACTGCTATGTAGCCATCTTCTGATCCCCATGTATTCTGTAGTGTATGACATAATTTGATGCATTAATATGTCTTGACGAGGAACTCTGAGGATTCTAAACAGCTGATGTTGTCAAGAGGGCACAGCTGGCTGGGAGAATGAGTAAATTTGGCAAGATACGGAATGCAGAATACTGATGGAAGAATTTAATGGAAAGAGCAATTAAAACAAATGAAGGGGAGGGAAGATGTAACTAACAAAGATCTCTGTGAGGATGGGAGGTGGATGTAACTGGCTCAGGATCATGTCCACTGGCATTGGTGATATTGAACCTTTGCGTTCTGTTACCACAGTGTCCATTGCATTACTGCTGTTTCGTTTAGTGCTCACCTCATACTTCCCCTGTTGTTCTTCTCTGATTGTTTCCAGGCTCAGCAGTTTACTCCAGGCTTCTCCGCGCAGTGAATTTGGAATCCCCTTATAAATTCGACGACGCAGTTTCTCCGATGTGGACATGCTTCCCCAGTTATTAAGCATTTTGAGCCACTTCTTCACTCTCTCCATCTCCACCTGCCGTAAGCGTAACGTGTGAGGATCTGCCTTTTGAGGCAGCCGTTCATCACTGTAAAATATTTGAATTATGGCTTAAAAGACGATGAAGACAATACAAGGGATATTCAGAAAGTAACCTCTGGTGGACTGTTAACAAATAAGCAGTAAGAAAATTAAAAACAAAATCAAATCAAGGAGGATGAGGTGGGCACGGCATGTAGTACGAATGGGGGAGACGAGGAATGCATATAGGATATTGGTGGGAAAGCCAGAAGGGAAGAGACCACTGGGAAGACCAAGGCATAGGTGGGTGGACAATATTAGAATGGATCTTAGAGAGATAGGATTGGATGGATTGGATTGATCTGGCTCAGGATAGGGACCATTGAAGGGCTCTTGTGAACACGCTAATAAACCTTCAGGTTCCATAAAATGCTGGGAAATTTTTGAGTAGATGCAGAATTTGTGCCTCCTCCAGAAGGGCTCAGCTCCATGAGTAAGTAAGTAAATAACAGCACTGTAAACTGTTCCCTATATTCCACTCAGATTGAAGCCCTTCATGAAAGTAGGCATCGTAAGTTTCTTGTTCTCTTAATGCTAGAGAATGTGAGTCTAAGTAAGACGTGACTGGGAATCCTGGCTCAGCTATGAGGACATCAAGTAACTGTGCATTAAAGACTCCTCCACTTAGCATGCCACCCCACTTCACAGCATACCAAATACCAAACATAACAGGTTACATGCAAAGTTATACAGACATACACAGTTACTGTCATTCTCAAAAACTTCAACTTCAGTGCATGTTAAAAATTACTTGTGGGTAACCAAAGTAACTTATCAAAACTTCATTGCCATGTTAGCTCTACCAACCTTATAATTTATTTGTAAAAACAAAACCCAAAGACTAAACTTGGGTGACTTTCTGATGTTTATTCTTAATAACAAAACCAAAATCTTAACTTTGTGGGTTTGTTGGTGACAGATATTCTGGTTACGCTTTTTTTTTTAACAGCACCACTGAGACAGACAATATGATGGTGAAGTATTAAAGTGCCTCGGGTCTCCTGTTAATGTCAGTACCGAACCTTTACTGCTAGTTCTCACATGACCACCTCGTCCGTCACTCATGGGCTCCAGCAGTAACATTACTGATTTATATTCAGGTGATGTCGCTTCAAATCTGTTACAATTACAACTATCATGACTGAGATTTACTGTGATTTTCCTCAGTTCCTCTAGGTAATTGTCAGGACAGTACCTCAAATTCGGCCATGACAGCTTCCTTCCAAATCTTTTGCAATTCGTTATTCACCCGTCACCCTACTATGTGATGATGCTAAATAATGTGCGGCACTGACAGATTCTTTAAATAAAACAAAAAAAAAACTCTCGAATACTTGTTGGAATACATTCTTTCTTAGTTACAAATGTTGGGCTGCACCATAGCTCAAGCGGTTAGTCGCTGGCTTCCCACTGCAGCGGCTCGGGTTCAATCCCGGGTCTGGTCAAGTGGGATTTGTGGCGGACAGAGTGGCGCTGGGGCAGGTTTTCTCCGAGTACTTTGGTTTCCCCCACCAATCTTCATTCCACCAATTGCTCCACAATCACCCTCACCTATCATCTGGGGCTGCTACAATAGGCCAGAAGTGGCTGCAGTACAAGGGACTTAGTCCCACTCCACTAGCAATTAAAAAACAATAATAATAATAGTTACAAATGTTAAAACGTGATGTTAGTTCTGTGCTTAATTAAGCACCACACCATGAAGACATATGTGAGACTGGAGGTAGGGCTGTCAGACAACTAAACTGACAAACTGTGTAGTCATATATGAAAACATATCCAAAAACTGTTTTTTTTTTTGGCAGATACATCTTGGCAACTTCATCACAAATCCCATACCAAATTGTTTATGGCAGTTTTGCTGTGCTGCTTCATATAAAGAGAGACGTGAAATTTGCATTTGCGAATTGAGATCGCCAACTGGCAATCCCTACATACACCAGATAGAAATGTACGGTCAACTGCAAGCCCAGGCCACTTTACACCTGGGTAGGAGCTTCCAGTAACTTCTGGATCGGAGGGTGAGCGGGCCCCAAGAGTCAGTCTCAATTTTGTGAAGAAAAGAAAAATCTGTGCCCTCACTACGACTGATCGAAGCACTCCCTTGCGTTTATTTTCTGAGCCAATACAGACTTCTTACTTACTGTATGAAACCATAGCGATCAGTGGTATGGTAAATCTCATATCCTGGATCCTCCCAGGGGTCAATTTGAGCTCCGTCTTCTCTACCACGACTATAACGGCTAACAATAAGTGCCCTCTCTTCTGCCGCTCTTCGCAGCAGCTCTTCTTCATTCATCCCGCGCGACTAAAGTGTCTTGCACCACACACCATCCCGCTCCTGCGTGAACTGAGGCTGTAATTCTACAAAATGAACACCTTCAGCTCCTGTAACATAGAACAATATAGCATGTGCAACAGTTGCTATGCAACAGGCGAATAAACAATGCTGATATGCAACTCGCTTCTAGGCAACGGATCGGTAAACACGTTCCCGCGGCAATGAATATGTACGTAACAATATAATAACCCGTCTCTAAGCACCGGATCGGTAAACACACGAGATACGAGATACGAGCTTGGGAGCAGATAAATTGAATTGAGTTGGCAGTTGCATAATAATGGCACGAAAGGGGTTAGGCTGTGAAAAGTTGACTTCACGTGTTATTTGAAGTTATAGTGAGAAGTTATGGTGAGACTGTTATGAATCCGTTGCCAGGATACGACTTGGGAAGACTGAGAACTCTGATGCGTGTGTAATGGTGAATTGTATAAAGTGTGTAGATCAGCAATAGCGTCGTACTGCCTGTAGTTCCGAGTACTGTGCGTAAGGTGACAATAAATCCAATCATCCAATACAAAACCTGTCTTATAAGTTACGCACAAACCCCCTACACGTGACAACATAGTTTAGGCTAGGAGTGGGTCTTGTTTAAAGAAACTTTCAATAAGTCACTCACAACAATTTTTATAAGTGAGATCTCCAAAAGTTATAAAGTATATCTAGGTCACACCTTTTAGCAAACTTATTAGGATGCTCTGAATTCCACCACAATTTTCACTGTATTTATTTCATGTACCACGCCAATACATGAGCTGAATCACAGAACTTGTTATGGTTACCGACAAATATCTTTCAAACTGGTACAATTCCCACGAAAATTCGGCTATTAGCTCTAAATTTACGGTAGTGTCTCACATCCTGAGATACAACTGTGGACAGTCCGAAATGCGATTCACTAAAAGTGATAGAAACTAAATCCATTAAAGCACGATTCCCGATTTCAACACGTCAACTATAAACTTTCAAAATAATGGTCATGCTATTTTAACCTGTAATACCTCAGGTCAGTTGTCAAACGCTCTGAATGAACAGACATCTCAAGACGAAGTCAACAGTCACACTTCACATTTACTGTTTTTTAATGCGACGAAAAGAATGTGGAATCATTTCAAACAAGATTTAAACAATAAATGAGGTAAGAACCTAACACAATTAACATACATATCGGGCACCTCAACTTTCCACCCCACTCTCTTTCGCAGTGGCAAGTAGGCAAGTAGAATGAGATCGGACGAAGTATTATTATCCGACCGCCAGGAGCAGCACCGGCTGGAACTTCCGCTAATTTGTGTGCCGGCATGACCGGGCATGACGTATTGCGCATATGTGGATGAGGTTCGGGTGAAATAGGGAATGTCCACGTATTTGAATTTGTAGTGTTATACCGACGTAAGCATTGTTTTGTTATTGTGGCAGACGTTTCCTGTATTCACGAACAGAATGGTGTGTAATAATGTATATGAACCAGGTCACTTATAAATCAATCAATGTTTGAGATTGTTTTGTCAGTTTAACATAACCTATAATAAATATCCCATGCACCGCCAGAGTTACTGACATGTTTCTTATTTCGTATTATCATTTTTCAGGCCGAGATTGAATCTATGACGCGGTATGTGTCTCCAGTAAATCCAGCAGTGTTTCCCCACTTGACAGTTGTCCTATTGGGAATAGGAATATTCTTTACAGCCTGGTTTTTTGTGTATGAAGTTACAAGCACAAAGTTTACCAGAGACATTTTCAAAGAGCTTTTGGTGGCTCTTGTTGCAGCAATCTTCTCAGGATTTGGAGTTTTGTTCCTTCTTCTTTGGGTTGGAATTTATGTGTGATACCTCAGTATCCCAAATATTGAAACATTAGACAGTGATAAAACTTGTAAATGAGACTATAATTATTAAAATATATAGCTTTTACTTTTCTTCAAGAAACTAAGATGTGAGCGGTGTACTTTCATTGCCAGAAATGTTCTAAAGGTAATGATAGAGCTACTCTAGGGAGAATAGGGCCAAGGGAAACAATATTTTTTTTATGATACATTGATAGTTGCTTCCAAAGCATTTTCTCACACTGATAGTATTTACTATGTAGTTGCACTCTGGTCAACGAAATGTACCAAAATACATGGTAGTATCTGTAATACATATGTACTGGTATGCTGTATTCACTGTATGAATGTTGCAACTTAAAAAATTGTGAATTTAAGAATAATTCGAAAGCAAATTCTGTAAAGTTAACAAGAATCATTGTTATGCAAGCAATCAAATTAAACTAAAATTGGTGGGTATACTGAGTTAATTTTGCTTATAATATTAATATAGCCACATGCAACTAATTAGGACAAGTATATTGTCAAGTTATATTTTACTTCTTTTGACTTAATTTGGACTTCATCCATTGTCTGGTAAGTAAAAGACGAAAGACCACGACGTTTCGGAGACTGGATCTGTCTCTGTCTTCAGGTGGGTAGGTAAGGATAAACCTACTCAGTTGGGCCTGTTAGAAAGAGCTAATTTCAATCATGGGTCCCAACTGAGTAGGTTTATCCTTCCCTACCCACCTGAAGATGGAGAAAGATCCAGTCTCCCAAAACGTCGTGGTCTTTTGTCTTTTACATAGCAGATGATGGATGAAGTCCAAAATAAGTACAGTATACACCATCGTCAGAAGTTATATTTTGTTTTTCACAATTTATTTTGTAGGATTTGAGGTTCTCACAGTATTGGTTATGAAGAGTTAGTTGTCTTCTAGGATGTGTAGTCCATTGAAGTTTAACTGATGTTTCAGAGGAACATTTCACCTCCATCTCTCTGCTCGACTTGGCCTACTCTTCTGCCCTCAAGGTGGGTGTCGCATGTTCCTCCAAAATGTCAGTCTACTTTCAACAGATTACATGTATTGTGGCCCAGAACAAAGAACTCTTTCATCTGAATATTCTGTTTGGTTTTTCTTACTTCATTTTTCCCTTTGTATTTTTGTTGGTATCTATAGTGTTGTTAGTTTTCCTCCTTATATTTATGAGATCTCAAGATGAACATGCAAGTAGGAAGGTGTCCCAATAGTTCTCATGCTTGTCCTAGTTGGTTGCATTTCACAATACTATCATTTACATGAGAGGCGGTGCAGCAGCAGTAATCTTAATGTTAAGGTAGTTTCGCATGGTTGACGAACTGAAAATGTTGTCTTTATTTTACAAGTGGAATGTACCCCTTTACCTGACACAATTAAATGAACACAGAAACTGGTGTATGCATTTTGCCTCTCTGGATGATTACCTTAACTGAGTGCTTTAGGCCGCGCCATAGCTCAAGCGGTTAGTCGCTGGCTTCCCACAGCAGCGGCCCAGGTCTGATCAAGTGGGATTTGTGGTGGATAGTGGCACTGGGGCGGGTTTTCTCCGAGTACTTCAGTTTCCCCTGCCAATCTTCATTCCACCAATTGCTCCACAATCACCCTCACCTATCATCTGGGGCTGGTACAATAGGCCAGAAGAGGCTGCAGTACAAGGGACTTAGTCCCACCCCACTAGCAATAATAAAAAAAATAGAATCCTCTAATCACCTGGAAAGTCATCCTAGCAGATGTATAAAGACAAAATATCGACATATTCACTGCTGCCTCCTGTACTGGTGGGCCACCCCTTTGAAACAGAAATAGCAGAGAATGAGTAAAAACCAGTAAATAATTGCTGTATGTTTAAGATGATCTTAGTTTTCACAAGCTAAAAGTTTCTCTGCATTTGAGCAACATATGTTGCAATTACATTGATACAAACAGAGGAAGGGTCTGCAGTAAACTTCAGCCCATAAGATGATGGGACCGACAATGTATGTGTTAAACCAAACAGCAGAAGTATGTACAAGGAGCTTTCAGTAAGTGATGTCCTAGAATGTGTTATATTTATTCCTTCAACTTCATACAGAACAAGGATTAACACGCAACATAACTGCCACAGTGACTGTGACATTCATCCTAGCGATACATCACCGGTTGGATTCTTGTGGAGAAGAAATGAGGGCTCAGTATCTGCACCCACCATTGTACCTCTTTCCAATTGCTGTGGTGTCGTGTGATGCGGCATGTTACTGTTGCCCCACGTTGCAGGAAGTGAGTGAAGATACTGCTCTGGGCATCCCAAAATGCAGTCTCCACCAAACCTTCTGTCTAGCAATTCCACTTCTATCAAACACTGAAGAAGCTGATCCAAGTAAAACATGTCCAACATGAGGAGATGAAAGCTGAGGTTTGCTGGTGGGTGCAAACAATGAATGCTAATTTCTTCACCGGAAGTGAACATGTAGTGTACTGCTGGGACAAAAGTCTCACTTGGTCTACATGTTAAACACCGGCACTAACAACATAAGTAAAGTAAAGCTATTGCTGTAACAGGCCATGGAGGCCCACAGGGTTGTGAAATGTTGACGTTCCCACATTTTCTAGACAATCAGCTCATAGATGTCGGCAAGGTTGTCAGCCGTATGCACCGGCCACCCTTTACTCCCAAGAATATTCCTGGTACTCATGTCTGTTAGAGGCTGAGTCGACCCCAGGGCCATAGCTGAAAGGATTAGGTCAATTGAAAAAAATCCAATGCCCTCATCAGGACTTGAACCCACCATCTTCCAGCTTGTAGCATAGTGCAACCAACTACGCTACTGCATTCCCTGGCACTAACAACACATATACCTTAAATCAGTCGCTGATTTTCACTGTGCATCCATATCCCACATGCGTATGTACACACCAGACTGTGAGAGGACCAAGAAGCCAGTGTTTCAGCGCATCATCATCCCCTTTAATGCAGGGAAAGGAAGTGGATATATATCGGACGTGAAGCCACGATACGAAATACACCCCGTAGCCATTTGCCGTAACATGATGGCAGAACTGGATATTTCGCAATTGCCTGATGTCATTTTTTCCCAAAAATGTATATATCTCAATAACTTTTAATTCACTCTTTGTTAATGAATACATAACAATTCAGATTTTAAAATGAAAGTAAAAAGAAAGTGTTATCTTACAGACAGGTAAGTATGATATGCAAACAAAACAATGTTGGAGAACAGACTATGTTAGACATTATTATAAAACAGTCATCACATGACTTGAGAAAAGTGAAATTGAACAAGCATTTGGATTTTAATGTTGTGGGTTGGGACCAGGGCCATCTTATCCATTGGGCAAAGTGGGCTGCTATAAAGGGGCCCCAACCATGCGAGCATCGGGGACATTAAGTTCCCCACAGTTTCTGCATACCTCACAAACATGTCACTAGCCAAAGAGTTTCATACTGTGCTCTTATTTACTTAGGTAACAATGCTATTAGTAGCTCATAATATACAGCATTGAATGGTAGGCGAATTAATGAATAATGAATTGGAATGGATGTGGAAGGAAGCAGCTGCCTAATTTAAGGTACCCTAACAGCATTTATGTGGAAGAACTGAGGAAAACTTCAGTCAGTGTCCCAACTGTGATTCAAACCAGGCACTTACTAGATAAAAGTCTTGAGCATTAAACCTTGAGCCAACTTGCTCGATGTAGTGTGCTCTTAGACGTCGAGAGTACAAAATCAGTAAACAGAATAAATAATGACTGTGCAGTCCGTATGTAACATCAACTTTAGGAGTTATAATTAACAGTATCCTGGCATGATTCCAATCCGCATATCTGGGCAGTAGACACGCAAGAGGATGTACAGAGTAGCTTTCTGTGTTACTACATTTGCATGTATAAAACATGAAATAATAAGTTTTCAAAAATGGGGTTAAACCAATATAATTTTTAAATTGTTTCTTTTTATCTTATCGATTTTCTTTTATTACTATATACATACAATTCAGGGCCACGCCATAGCTCAAGCGGTTAGTCGCTAGCTTCCCACTGCGGCGGCCCAGGTTCTATCCCAGGTATGGTCAAGTGGGATTTGTGGTGGACAAAGTGACGCTGGGGTAGGTTTTCTCCAAGTACTTCGGTTTCCCCTGCCAATCTTCACTCCACCAATTGCTCCACAATCACCCTCACCTATCATGTGGGGCTGGTACAATAGGCCTGAAGTGACCGCAGTATAAGGGACTTAGTTCCACCCCACTAGCAATAAAAAAAAATACATTTAGTAGTGATATCAGACTGTAAGGCTTTTATTTATTAAAACAAGCAGAGAAAATGGGGGCCCAAGACAATATGTTGCCCATCCCCACCACTGCCTTAAGAGCGGTCCTGCTTGTGCCAGTGTGCAGTGTTGGAGGTGGATAAAAACATTCTGCAGAAACTTGTTGCCTCAATCTACAGGGTTGGCCTGCGTCGACAGAACAATGCCATGGAATTACAGAAATGTAACCATGTCCTCCAACACAGGGTAATGACACAACCTCAATATTATGAAATCAAGCTTACAGCAAATTCCCAATTCGGTGATTCTATAATTAATGAAATCCTGTATTTAGTGAATATTTTTTTCTGCTTCCAGCTGAAATGCGATATAAACAATTCATTATTTCCCCACATCTAGGGCATTTCAATTTAGTAAATAACCCCCACAGAATGTACGAAAGAAGTCTTCGAGTTTGCACACCTCAATTTAATGCAAATGCAGTGAAAATAATGATCGATACTCACATTTTCTCTCTGTCAGACAGCCACAGTGCTTATAGCATCGCAGTTGCTTTGAGTCTCCACTGACATTCTTTCAGTGTTTATTTCATTGTCAATAATTATTTTAGAAATTAACTATTGGAGAAGGCTGGTGAAAATTCAACAGGCGGTAGCCTAATCTGTTTTACCGAACAATGTCCACATACACACATGTGCATGTACCTACAGCCTTCAGCCATAGCATTCGTGAGAGTAATTGAAAATGAAGTCATATTTTATTCAAATCTCACATGCAAGCTGTCAAGAGGTGCTTCCATCAATGGCCCCACAAACCTGTTGCAACAGGCGTACAGCACATCTATATTTATGTGCGTGTGTATATATACATACACAGGGATGTGGCACAGGTATTATTGATTATGTAATTTTATCTGTGCAGACACATTTTCTTTTACTACTTAATGAAACTGTTTTATAATAATTAATACAGTGTGCTTTATAAGAAGATAAACAACTTGTTGACGTAATTTTATACAACTCCCACTTAGTGAAAACATAATTCAACTTTATCATCAGAAGATAAAGGTGAATTTAAAAAAAATCCCACTTCCCCAGAAATTCATTAAACAGATATTTCACAATACACATATTCCTCGATTTATTCAATAGTTGATAGCTGTGTTCCAAGAAGATGTCACAGAGAGTGGAACCACACAATTCAAACATAATTTTCCTATCTCCCCTTTGCTGTCCTCCTCCACAAACTCACAAAGTAATCCGCTCATCCTTCCTTCTCATCATGTCTCTCCATTGGGTGGCAAGCGCTCTTAACTGAAACTGATCTAAATTACCTCAATGCATTAAAATTAAAGTACATTTTTTGAGTATTTGCACATGGGTGAACACATGAACAACCCTATAACTTGACACACTATGGTGTATGTATGATGGGAAAAAAATTGAGGCAGATGACTGTCTCACATGCAGTGCCTACTTCTGACATCCCAGGTAAAAATCTACACAAATTTAATATATTTTAAAACAAAGTGGTGACTAGAAGAGACAGGTTTATGATTAGGGGGATCAGGGTTGTAACAAAAACTATTAAATGAGTCAAATGTGATTCTGTTACAATGATATACCAACGTTTAACTGAAACATAACCACCATTCTGAATCTCAGAGAGTTTTCATCCGGCAAGGCCTGCTTTCTGGCGGCACTTGTGCATCAGGGCATGCAACATGAACTGTTTGCGTGACAAACTTCGGACTTGTTTCAGGAACACGTCCAAATCAATAACTCCACGTCTTAATGCTTCCCCCATGTAGTATATTGCGTCCTCTGTCGCAGCCTCCTCAGCAAAAGCAATCAGCAATCTGGAAAAGGTAAATAAAATGTAACTGTTCTGTTGGGAGTCGGGATAACTTGGTCACTATAGCGACTAGGCTACAAGCTGTAAAACCAAGAGATCGGAGTTTGTTTCCTGGCATGAGCAAAAGATTTTTCTCTTCTGCACAGTGTCCAGACCCAGTTTGCCTACCCAATTGGTATCAATGGTGTCGAGCAGAACCCTGACCACCCATACATGAGGTGTAGCTATACCTCCATTCCAACAGACACTTTCATGGCATGGTACCCAATTAATAAAGTACAGTGGAAACTTTACCTTCTTACTGTCCTGTTTCGTACCACAAACACCCATAAGATTTTATGACAGTTTCTCTGTACTCTCACCAACATGTACGGTAACAAGTATTAAAGCAATGACAACCCATTTCCTCCCTTCCTTCAGGGAGTGGTTATGGGGTTTCCACGATTTAGGAAGACCACCATTTAATGTTTCTTTTGGTGACCAGTAGATTTGACCACTAAGCTGAGGAAAATCTTGAACAGTGGAAATTTAATACTGGGATCGCTGACTTCTGATCACTGAAATTGGATCTTAATCAGGGGAAATCTGAAATTGAGGAACATGAAATGGGAGTTCCATCCTAATGTAATACAATGTAACATGATGGAATCTAATCTAATGTGAGGGCATTTCAAAAACTACATAAACCAGAGATCACAGCTGACCACAACAGCTACTCATAAGTAAACTTCAGATAATATAATGGTGATGGATTTCAGTGTTACGTACTGTTTATAAAGTGGAGCAGTTGTGGTGACAGCTTCGTCAACATCAAGCGGCTGCTGCTCCGATAAACGTTCAATGTCTTTCTCCAATTCTTTCTCCTTGTCTTTAAGAATAGATATGTTCTTATCCAACTCAACCTGAAAATAATAATGGTTTCAAAAGTGTAGTGGGTCACAGGTCTCCAAGGGGTCACTGCCTACTCTAACGGGGGACACTGAATTCGTAAGAGTTATTCAAAACACAGTTGCATCCATGTACAGAGTGGCACACAAAGTGATCCAGTACTTCATCTATTAGTAAAATCTTTATTTCAATTAAAATACTAGAAAATAAAATACAAAAAGAAAGACACTGCTTGCAGATCTATCCTCTTGAATCAAGTGTTCAACATGACCACAAATTACGTCTGGCAACTTCAACACGAACTGCGTTGTTGTTGATTACTCAACAGCACATATCCTCAGTTATCTCATTCCAGGCCTGACTCATTAGCGCTCTCAATTTCATTACTGTTTGCAGCTTTTTTGAAAAAATCTTTTCCTTGAGGAATCCCCAAATAAAATAGTCACATGGGTTTAAATCATGACTATTTGGGAGCCAGTTCTGTCCACATGCAAAACAATCAGGAAATCCATCTGGGATGACACATGAATCATTTTGTATGGATACAAATTCAAATACAGTAGAACTTGGTTATAACGTCATCAAAGGGACCTAAAAATAGTGTCGTTATAAACGAATGTCGTTGTAACCGAAATGGGCACTTCCACAGTAGCCTTATGTTAGTCACGTAAAAATCTACCAAAAACCAAGTTAAAATGTTGCATTTTTTAGTGAAATATGTAGTTAAGTACAGACTAACGTAACATTAACGTGGAATTGATATGGATTCTCCATATCGTTTGTACTGTAGAATTCACCAAACCAAATTCGCGGCATACATCAGCTTTTTTCCTTCCATTTTCTATTTCACGAATCACTTTAACTTTCTCTTCAATGCTTAAAACTTTCCTTTTCATTGCCATGTTTTCGCTACTGCACTTCTCTGGGTTTAGGCAGGAACACTATAGGGTAAGTAGACAATGTGAGGTCCTGTTAGACGAGATTCTAGGAAAGGAATGCAGTTAACAACCTGCCGCGTCCTCTTGCACTATTCACGCAGTCCCACCCCACACCCTTGTTTTCGCATAAAACCCACGCTCCTCTTGCAGCCCGCGGTCGTATTCTTCCAGGACAGTCACGTCAGCAAGTAGAGAAAGTGAGGGTGGGCAGACACATCGAACTTTCCCACGATATCAGAGAAATTCAGGAATGAAAATGACGTTACATACGAGGTTGATGCATTTGTGCATGTCGTACTAAGCAAGGTATAAAAACAGTTGCTTTATGAGGAATTAGTTCGTACCATTGAATATTTGACGCAATAGACAAGGTGTCGCAGAAACCGATGTTGCTATAACCAAGTTTTACTGTAATTTTTCAATGTTCATTGCACCGATCGTCTGAATATCCCTATTTGTGCTGCAGCCTTCCTTGTTGATTTACTGGGGCTTCTTTGCAACGCCACTTTAGCAGCATGAGTGTTCTCCGGAGAACGCACTGATGAAGGCCAGCAACGTTTCCTCTCCAACACTGAACCATTATTATTAAATTGGTTATAAAGTTTGTGAACTGTTTTAAACGACCAGCCTCTGTTGGGCCACAACACTTCTTGCTTCAGTAATGAACAACATTGTTTTTATGCATTGCTGTAGTCTCCTTTGGTCAGCCATTTTATGTAAACAGGCGCATGAGCGGGAGCAGCACGACACTAGCGTGCTTGGGAAGAGTAAGAACTAATCTCCATGCGTTACCATGTTACAAAACATTGTTCACTGCGTGGTTCAGTAATTAATACTAAATCATTTCATGTGCCATCCTGTATAATTCATAATTAAAAATAATAACAACAGTAATTTTGGCAATCCAGTAAAATGTAATCTTTGTACTTCTGGAGAAGGTAGCCACAGTTGGCAAAACATTTCAGTTCTTTCACAACTGTACAGGATATAAAGAGAGTGTTAAGCTAGTCAGGTTTCTGTTGTCATCATACAGCCTGACAAACAGACCTGCAACAATGTGCAAAACTGTACTTTTCACTGACCAACACAGACGAGTGTTGCATACATGTATGTATTATTTTAGGGGGCTGAGGTGTCACAAAGTCTGAGAAACCCTGGTGTACACAATGGTAAACACATATTATCCAAAAATATTTCTTTCCTACACAAGATATGTTTGTGGTACTTGCTGCAGTAGTGGGGTGTGGCCGAGTCTACTTGGTACTGCGGCCAATACTGGCCTACTGTACCAGCCCCAGATGACAGATGAATGGTGATTGTGGCGCACTTGGCAGGGGAAATTGAAGTACTTGGAGGAAACGTGCCCCACTGCCACTTTGTCCACCACAAATCCCACATGACTTGGAGACCAGTGACTAACCGCCTGAGCTATGGTATGCCCTCTTGCAGCAGCAACTATGAACACTGCTATCTACTGGGATGACATTTTGTCTGGTAAATGTTTACCAACATTTTGGAACATAACTGGATCTACTTCCAGAGCTGACAACTAACCCATGAAAGCATTTTACCAAGGCCCTGACTCCAGTCCTTCCTCTCTCTCTATCCAGACCACTTCTTCCTTGCTCACCTCACTCCTCCACTGTGAAGCTGTAAGCAGCAGGTTCCAGGAAAATGTAACAATTCACCAAACTTCATGGCTTCGCATACCAGAAGACAGTGCACACCACAAGGGATCTGACACTCTCACAATGGTGCTTACAAAGAGTTCTGTGTTATGGGATGTAATGTCATGTAGTCCACTGAAAGTCAACCAACATTTCAGAGCAATATAACATCTTCAACTTCAGGGTCGCTAGTTTTGACTCTGCTTCATGCTGTTTTCTTGCGTGGCTTATTCTTCAACCATGAAGATATGAGGTGATAAGTTTCTCTGAAATGTTTCATGACTTTCAATGGTCTATACAAGGCACAATATGCTCGAAGACACAACTCTTCTGTATTCACTAGAGACAATTCTGTCTGAATCTCTAATCTTTATATATATCTCACCTGTTCTTTCTCCAGTCGTGCAAGGATGTCTTCTAACTTGCTTTTCCCCTGCAGCAGTTCCTGCTGGGTACGGCTCAAAGTCTCCAACTCAGCTTGCATCTGCGAGAACTGCTCTCGTAAGCGTCTGCGTACCTTGTCTTCCACAGCAGACAGCAGCGAGGCCCTGATGTGCTCCTCAGTAATGGTTCCCGTAGTACCACCTGAACTGTTGGCTGTGTTTATTGCGGGTGGTGACTTGAAACAGACATTGACATTACAATTACAGTCTCTTCAGACATGACACCGCACAATTTGGTACAGAAGTACCAACATTTTAGACGACTCTACATAGATTTCTCTAATCGTACTGCTACAGTTGTTACTTTTATTTTTTTCTGTAAAGAACTTGTTACTTAAATACACATTCTGTGTAACTGAACAGTCGCCAGTCAGTGAGTGTTCATTCATAAACAATACTTCTTATACAATGTGCTGTTATGTCTATGAACTATCTCCATACAAAATTTCACATGCCCAGTTGAAATCATTCATTAGTTATCATCATTAGACTGAAAATTAATTACATACTTCACAAACCACAATTTTGCTGTTTGCGGTTTACAAAAAATGTGGTATATTCTCCAATGATCTATCATACTATGTTAAGTGGTGCTAGCGCCACCCCCCACCTCAAAAGTTTCGGCCTCCTGCCTGTTATTACTCACTGCAGGAAATAAAATACGGTATTGAAGTAGCCTCTAATTTTGTAATGTTCATACCAAGTACCACAAAACCAGTTAAATGGTAATGGTAAAGGTAAAGTTGTCCCTGCGCTCAATTAATTAAGCACCACACCAT